CAGTGAAACGACGTCACGCAGACCGAAGGAAGCTCGTCCGAGAGATTTAATATCTGTCTGATCAGAAGAAAGTATTATTTATATCAAACTGTAGTTTCTCATTTTAAGTCCCAAATAAACTTCTTGTAAATGTGAGAAATAATTTTTCTCACATTGATGAAACAAACGTTGACATTTCTAAATTTTAATTTAGAATTTGCAAGTAAAGTCATCTCAAAATGAAATAAGTTATTACACTGCCGGTCCAAAGGTTTTAGAGCTGCCTCCATGTTTGTAGTTCTTCTGTAAATCTTAAGTAGTTCAAGTCCAGTGAAAAACCTGAAATGGTACCAAAGTTAAAAATGTTTTCAGTTCAAATATTAACAATTAAATCAAGGAGTTTTGTTTTTCACTGGTGTGTGTGTGTGTGTGTGTGTGTGTGTGTGTGTGCATTCCAGGTTTTTACTGGACCTAAACTACTTAGATTTACAGAAGAACTACAAACATGGCGGAGCTCTAAACCCTTCTGACCTGCAGAGCAGATATTATTATAGAAGACACGTGACGCCTTTTTATTCTTTAAATCTAAAGAACTTGAGTTTCCTTCAGGGTCGGTGAAGCCAACAGTGAAACTTCAGCTGTATAAAAGCTTGTGGTTGTGAAGGCGTTCGGTGACGCAGAGCGGTGAGGACCCTGCAGAGTGTAAATACAGGTGTCCTTCATCCTGCCTGCAGACAAACTGCAGCAGCTTCCCGGTACACATATATCCAGCCCGGTTCCTCTTCCTGACCCGTGGCGTTCTGACGGGCCAAGCGGGTTTCAGGGTCGGAACCTGAATTAATTTAAACTCACCTGAACATGAAGCAGCTCAAGAACATTCAACAGATATATAAATACAACCTGTGAAAATATAAATAAAAGACTTAAAACAAACTGAAGTACTGCGTGGAGTTATTTAAGTTTGTAATGAAGTTATTTAAACAGTTTTTAATCTTTGAGCTCGTGGATGTGACGTCACGACCATCCTGAAAAATAAAATAACCTTTTTTTTCGGGGTTGGTAAACGACAGAACGACATGAAAGAAGCGAGGAAAACAAGTGGAAAGTTACTGGGAGAAAACTACATCCAGTAAAACTCACAAAGGCAATTCACGAAGAGGTCGGACACGTTAGACAAGCTGAGTCCTGAGTAAAGGGAAGATGTTGAGCGAAGCAGTCAAGAGCTCAACAGATACTGAAAATGAAGTACGAATTAAAAGTCACGTTCCTGGGGCTAATCGTAAGGTTAGAGGAGTGATCAGTGGAGTCGGTACTGAAGAAAGAAATGAAAGGAGATAGAGTCTCGGTAGTGAAGCGCCTTCCTACGAGATACCAGGGGAATTAGTTGATGGTGTATCACCACAGAAAGTGATGATTGGACGCATGTGCTTTACTGTGAGGGAATTTATACCTGAGCCACTACGTTGCTTTAAATGTCAGAGAATTGGACCTGTGGCAGATCTAAGTCGAGGTGTGCTGGAGAACATGAATATGGCCGCTGCGCAGTAGACGCTAAAGCCAAATGTTGTAACTGTGGGGATGTGAGGCTCAAAACAGAGCAAAAGATATTCAGAGATACAAAACAAATATCATACGCTGAAGCAGCAAAACAAGTCTCATTGGGAGCGACAGTGGATTCTCACTAAGTGTTCACAGGAGTGTGCAGTTAAAGACGACGATGGTGGATGAGTTTAAATTTGTAGCTTTCACAGGTAGTGAATGTAGCGCTGCAGCAGGCAAAGAAAAGGTCGAGGCTGAGGACTATTGTTGAGGCAGCAAAATATTATTTGGGGATCCCGGAGATGACTGTAGACAAGTTAGCACCTGGTGATGGAACCTCATGGGTTTCCTTACCCTCCTACAGAACGCCAGAAGCCTGATTGCAGATGGACAAGAATTTAAGAGAGATGTGCAGCAGCTAAATGTAAAAGCTGACATTATCTGTATTCAAGAAACGCGGCTGAAACCACACCTGGATTTTAATAAAGTTATAAGGCAGGACAGAGACAGCGGTCACGGGGGGGGGTGTATATCTTACAGAAGAATGGCAATTACCTTCAGTACAGACTTAGAGGTAGTAGTTACTGAGATAAGGGTGAATAAAAGAAATATAGTAACAGTTAATTTGTATAATCCATGTAAAAGGATGAAGATTGAAGATTTACTAGAGTTTGATCAAGGACACAATAATCTGGTGTGGGGATTTTAACACTCATAACACTGGGGAGGGAAAAACACAGATTATAATGGACGGATTACAGAGGAATTAACTGAAGATAAAGATTTGGTTTGTTTAAACAATGGACAAGCTACAAGGGTCAATCTAAGTAATGGAGCAGAGTCCGCGTTAGATCTGACATTAGTGTCAAATGAATTAGCTAGTTGCAGTAAACGGGAGGAGCAAAGTGATGATAGTGATTAATTCTGAGGAAAATCTTATGATTGAACGTGATGAGGTTACAAGATGGAAGTTGGGAAAAGCAGATTGGAGTAAATTTGCAAGTGCTTGTGATGAGGAGTTTAATCAGATCGATATGTCGGGGAAGCGGACGAATTAAATGAAAGTATTATCAAAGCTACATTAAATGGAGAATCACAAGCGATTGGAAAGAGTGAAAGGAAAATGGTACCATGGTGGAACAAAGACTGTAATGAAGCCGTCAAACATTTAGAGAAGTGAAAAGAAATCATTACATGTGGAATTTACTAGATTACAAAAAGGGCTCGAGCAGTAGTAAGAAAAATAATCAAAAGATGTATCGGAGAGAGTTCTGTTCAACTACTGGAAGAACAACACCGTCAGATAAAGTTTGGGGAATGATTAAAAGAATGAAGGGAATCAGGCAAGATAATTCCCAGTGTTGAAGACAGGGGAAGAAACTGCTTGTGAGAACAAGGAAAGGCAGAAATGTTGGTAAAGATCTTTGATAAAATTCATAGTTCAGATAATTTGAGTTAAGAAACCTGGGAAAGATCCTACGAATCCTGATCACTATAGGCCGACAGCGTTAACTTCACATGTTTGTAAAACCATGGAGAAGAAAGAATAACACACTACTTAGAAAGAAATGAGCTCTTTTCACCATTTCAGAGTGAATTTAGATCTGGACCCTTTAACATGCTTAGAAAACGACATTATGAAAGCTCAAGGAAATACAGAGCGGGTGGTAGCTTTTAATGAAGCTAGGTAAAATGGATGAAACATTTGGTAGGTACATTCAGGTTCGTGTAGGGAACTCCACGTCAGACGCATTTTTGGTTGAAAATGGCCCCGCTCAGGGGAAACGCCAGTACTGTTGTCATGATAAATGGCGTATATAAAAATGTTAATCCTGACATTGGGAAATCGCTTTTTGCTGATAACGGAGCAATCTGGAAACGAGGGAGGAATATGGAGTATGTTGCTACTGGTATGGTTGAAAACTGGTCTTTGAATTTGGGGATTTAAACTGTTGAGAATCTCAATCATCTTTTTTACAAGAAAGAAAATCAAAGAAGAAATATGTTTGAAATTGTATAATCAAAGGTTGGAGAGAGTGAAAACCTTTAAGTTCTTGGGTTTGATGTATTACTAACGTGGAAAAATCATTTTGATAAAATAGAAGGTAAATGTAAGAAAGTATTGAATATTATGAGGCGTTTATCAGGCAGTGTTTGGGGAGCTGAAGAAATATTAATATTGCGTTAGTTAGATCAGTTCTAGAATATGGATGTATAGTTTTTGGATCAGCTGCTATTACATTATGTTATCGTTAAAACGGTTGGATATAGTTCAGGCCAATAGTCAACACCAATATCCGCGCTTCAGGTGGAGGTTGGAGAAATGCCACTGAATCTAAGAAGGGAACTGTTGTAATTATTGGGCTAACTTACAAAGTCAAAAAGACATCCTATGAAAAGGATAATGAATGAAAGTTGGGAAAACAGCTAAATGAATAAGGAGGTATTCAGCAATGTAATTTTGGATGTAAGAAAGGAGTTAGGAATCAATGATTGGCTCGCTAGTCCAGCTGCTTTAATGCCAGCTGTTCCACCATGGCTATACCTCAGCCTGGAGTTGATCTTTCTCTACTGAAACAGGTTCGTTCAAGTAAAAACACTTTAGATATGCAAGCTCATGTGAACACGATGCTGCATGAGAAATATGGGTATTACATACATTTATTTACCCAGAGAACAGAAAATCCAGCTGTGCTTCTTACCTTCCAGAATTAAAAATGAAGGTGTTTAAAAGATTAACCAACCATTTATCGGTGTCTGCAGCAGAAATGACGGCAGTCTTGTTTGCACTACAGTGGATAGAGGAAATCAAACCCATGAGAATGAGAATTTGTTCAGATTCAAGCGCAGCTCGGTCTCAAAAGTACGAGGATATATTGTTTGAAATATTGTCATTATATAGAATAAGTAGTCTGGGGATTGATGTTCACTTGGCATCCAAAGGAACGAGATGCCTTTAGACACATTAGCTAAAAATGGGTTGAAAGTAAATCAGGTAGCAAAGCAGAGATCAAAGCGTATGTACGGAGCAAAGATAAGATAAGATGCAGTGGCAGAGTTTACGGGATAATGGAAATAAAGGAAGACATAAGTGGGGAAAAGCAGAGAGAACAGAGTCAATTCAGCAGAATCAGACGGGGTCACACAAAGTTAAATGCATCTCTGCACCTTGTTGGGAAACATCCATCTGGAGACTGTGCAGCCTGCAGTCAAGCAGAAACTGTGGAGCATGTGCTGCTTGAGTGCACTAACGAAAGACTGGCTTTAAGAAACGGACTGGAACATGAAGGAATTAAACAAATGGACATTAAAACTATTTTCTCAAATAACTACGGGAAGATGGTCTTTAAACACATAACTACGATACAGTAGGTGGCGCTAGTGCTCCATCTGGTTGCAAGTCGCCAGTAAAAAGAAGAACAACAAGTTGGTATAGTTTGTGCTTTTATTCTGAAGTGAACGACCGGAAGCGCTTCGGGTGTCGCTGCTAGCTTCCCGCTAGCTTCACACAAGAGGAAACAGCCGAAAGTAAACTTCCTGGAAACAAACCACCGGTTCGGATCGATTATTATCGGTTATCAGTTCGCCAGCAAACGTCGTTTAGCTGCCCGGTGTCTCTCAGCGCGCGACTACCGGGAACGACCCGGTGACGGTACTTCAAAACATCCGCCACGGACAGAAACACCGTTAGCTTTAGCTGCCGTTAGCTTGACCTAGCACAGTTGGTTCCGTTGGACCCGGACCGGACAGGGTCAGCACCGTTTCCACCATGGGAGCCCACCGCAGTGAGGGAGGCCGGGACTGGCTGCAGCAGGACGGGCCGGACCAGAACCCGGTACGAACCGCAGCTAACGGCGGCTAACACGTTAGCTTCGCTAGCTCCTGGGTTGATGAGCCTGTTTATTTGAAGGCCTTGTTAGCGTCGTCGGTTCTGATTGGTCCATCTGTCAACGTTATTCTGACTCATCAACACTGTAGAGACTACAAAAGGAAACCGGAAGCTGTCAGAGTTTGACACAATGTTCTGAGCTTTTAATCGATTCATGACAGAAAGATGAATTATTGCTGATCAGAATAGTTGCTGCTTTACTTCCTGTTGATTGACTTATTGATTAATCGATACTGTCCGCTCAGATAGTTTGTGTTCAACAATCAGTGATCAATTAAAGCACCGGAGTTATTGATCCACCGGTGGACTGGAAGCTAATAAGCAGCTAATATTAGCATTGACTGGGTTGTTGAGGCTGATTGATCAGATAATCAATAATAAAGTGATCAGCTGCTGAAAAATAATGTTAAAATAATGTTCCTAATAAATGATCCAGAGATTTTTCAATTGATTGATTACTCTGTGTGTGTGTGTGTGTGTGTGTGTGTGTGTGCGTGCGTGCGCGCGCGTGTGTGTGCGCGTGTGTGTGCGCGTGCAGCCGTGGAACCTGATGATCAAACACCGACAGATTCACAGACGGGGACGGCGCTCTCACATGGCGGTCAGGTCAGTCACGGGAACTTATTTCCGCTCTGGGGTCAATACAGGATTCTGATTGTGATTAAGGGCCCCAAAGGTTAGAACAGAGTTTATGTTCTGTCAGAACCCGGGGGGGCCGCTCTGTGTCTCACAGGTCATCAGATGTTTGTCAGGTGTTGCTGCCAGCAGGTGGCGCTGCAGCTCAGAAAGATGCAGGCCAGAGGGCCGATCCGATGGAAAAGACGTGTGCAGCGTACTTTACTCACAGTCAGCCATTAAAGAAGGTTTACGATGAAGTAAAGAACCGATTATTAGAACTAAAATGAAGAAACACAGCTGCAGTATGAAAAGACGCGACAGACGGAGAGAGAGAGGAAATTATCGCTGCTCTTCCTCCCTACAGAGAGGTGATCCGTGTGAGCACGACTGTAACACACCGCATTCATCTGTGGGAGGTTTGTAGCTCCCGGGCTGCAGCAGCTGATCACAGGGAGAGAGAAGGGTCAAAAACATAGAGGTGTGTTTATATATGAACACATCGTGAGTGTGCAAAACATTTCTTGAGCGACATATCGTCCATTCCTAACTTTTAAAGCACAGTGATGTTTCTGCCCGTATTATTTTATGATGCACACGTCCTCTGATCCAATTATGAAAGCTAATAACCACAAACTGTGTGTTACCGTATGAAGGCGACCTTTGGGATTTTAATACGGGCTGATAGAAAATATGCAGAACACATGAGAACACTTTTCTTGTGACCGCTGGTCTGTTAGCCCGGCCGTTAGCCTGATCTGTTAGCCTGATCTATTAGCCCCGCCGTTAGCCTGATCTGTTAGCCTGATCTATTAGCCCGGCCGTTAGCCTGATCTGTTAGCCCGGCCGTTAGCCTGATCTGTTAGCCCGGCCGTTAGCCTGGTCTGTTAGCCTGATCTGTTAGCCCGGCCGTTAGCCTGGTCTGTTAGCCTGATCTGTTAGCCCGGCCGTTAGCCTGGTCTGTTAGCCTGATCTATTAGCCCGGCCGTTAGCCTGATCTGTTAGCCCGGCCGTTAGCCTGATCTGTTAGCCCGGCCGTTAGCCTGATCTGTTAGCCCGGCCGTTAGCCTGGTCTGTTAGCCTGATCTATTAGCCCGGCCGTTAGCCTGATCTGTTAGCCCGGCCGTTAGCCTGATCTGTTAGCCCGGCCGTTAGCCCGGCCGTTAGCCTGGTCTGTTAGCCCGATCTGTTAGCCCGGCCGTTAGCCTGGTCTGTTAGCCCGATCTGTTAGCCCGGCCGTTAGCCTGGTCTGTTAGCCTGATCTGTTAGCCCGGCCGTTAGCCTGGTCTGTTAGCCTGATCTGTTAGCCCGGCCGTTAGCCTGGTCTGTTAGCCTGATCTGTTAGCCCGGCCGTTAGCCTGGTCTGTTAGCCCGGCCGTTAGCCTGGTCTGTTAGCCTGATCTATTAGCCCGGCCGTTAGCCTGATCTGTTAGCCCGGCCGTTAGCCTGATCTGTTAGCCCGGCCGTTAGCCTGGTCTGTTAGCCCGGTTCTGACTGTGTATGTGTACGTGTGTGTGTGTGTGTGTGTGTGTGTGTGTGTGTGTGTGTGTGTGCAGCTACACGGATCCTCAGGTGTCCATGGACCTGTTGAGGGCGGTGCTTCAGCCCAGCTTCAACGATGACATCATGGCCGTGTTCAGGAAGTACCAGAAGGTCAGAGTTCACCTGGGGGAGTAGTGTTGTCCCGGTCCTGGAGTTTCTAAGCTGATACCTTGAAAAACATGTGATAGCTCTGATGAGGAACGCTCGGGGTCAGAAAACCCAAAACCTGTCTCCACCAGTTTATTAAAAATAAAAGAAACTTCCAAATCTGTGCAAATTTATTCTCTTCCAAGATAAAAACCTGAGTTACGTCTTGGCTAAAGAAGAAATAACTGCTCAGTGTTTTACGCTCCCTGACTGGAACTTCACCACAACATTGTTTAATATATTTTTGGATGATCTAGTCTTAATATTCACTATGAGAACTTCAGAAAGTCAAATTATATATTTTTTAAAAGATTAAACATACATTAATAGACACCAACAAGTCGGAAAGATTGAAATGTTTTGTGATTACGCAGTGTTTGTAAATCAACCATTCAGGGCTCATCAAACAGACATTATTCGTTATACGATATTAAACTTTTTGAACTCATGCTTACGCCACACCTGCCTACCTGCACCTGGGCTCTGATCTTCTCAACTCTTACAAAGAGGAGAAATCATTTCCATTGTTCAGAGCAAACAGAGAAGTTTAAACATTAAAACATATTAATATTGTTCGTGTTCCATAATATAGCCTAAGCTAATGTAGAACGAGGTTCCAGTAAGTAACATAGAGTACCTTTAACAAAACTCTCTCTCTCTATCGTGGAAAACACATTAAGACCTTACGTATAGTGTTTTTTAAAGCATACAGCAGAGTAGTTTAAACAAAAGTAGTTTAGAATTCATTCTGTAGAACATCCAGATAGTAAATATTAAACAACACTGAGCTCATGACCTTTCAGTTAAACACCTGTCAACGAGCTGTGACCTCAGAGTAGAGAACAGCTGAATGACTGCAGCAAACACAGACCGTAACATCAATAATGAAAACAGAGTTCCTCCTGAGGTGCCGGGTGCTGCAGGTAAAAAAGGGAAGGAGTGAATCTGCATCTTCAATTAACAAACAACACACAACCAGCCACCAGTGTGAAGGCGCGTGCGAGCAGGTGTGAAGGCGCGTGCGAGCAGGTGTGAAGGCGCGTGCGAGCAGGTGTGAAGGAGCGTGCGAGCAGGTGTGAAGGAGCGTGCGAGCAGGTGTGAAGGAGTGTGCGAGCAGGTGGGAATGTGTGTTGTTGACGATCTCGTGTTATTCTGGTTGCAGTTCTTTGAGAAAGCAGCAGAGAACGTGAAGGAGAACGTTGGAGACGATGTTCAGACCGATCAGCTGATCAGAGAAGCCTGCAGGAACGTTCTGGAACATGTAAGATCACTTTCTGTTGTCTGACCTTTAACCCTGCTGGTCATGTGACATAAGCGTCAGATGACTGGCTGCAGTGTCAGCAGGTTCTACAGGGTTCTGACCTCATGACCTTTGACCTCACCTGTCTGTTTGTCTGATGTCATCACCAGGCCAAACAGCTGTTTCCAGAGGGGGAGGTGAAGAAGGCGGGTTCAGAGGTTGCCATCAAGGTAGGAAGTGACCAATCAGGACATCCAGAACATGTTGTAACCTGGTCTGGTTCTGATCCTGTTCTTTGTATCCTGTCAGAGGTCCAGAGCTGCTGATGAAGACTACAGTCAGAGAGGAAGCCCCGTCCTCAAGAAGGTACGGTACCTCTAACAGACAGGTGTGACTGACAGGTGACAGTATCAGTAACTGTGATAATCGTGTTTTCAGAGGAGGACTCGTCCAGGTGCGGCGGCGGTCTCTGATCGACCTCACACCGTATCCAGTCAGTAAGTATGGCTGCAGCTGACATCACCATCAGTGTCCAGGTAGATTACAACACCTGACCAACTGTTCCTGTCCTCAGAGTGAAGCTCAAGTCTGATCCCATCAAGAGAGAAGGACCAAAGGTGAGTCCAAGGAGCAGCACTCAGGTGTGTTCATCAGACAGGTGGTCCTGCCGGACCGGGAACGACGCTGCTGCGTGTTTCAGGAAGTTTTTCTTTTTTTTTGCTGTTTCGAACCTTTCTCTAAAAATACACGACTACTAAGTCTGAAGGTGCACACCTGCAGCTCAGAGTTTACAGAGTATGACTGATGTCACCACCTCCTGCTGCAGCAGCCAATCATCATCAACAAACCAACAATCATTCATTCAGGAGTCAATAATAACAACCCGCTGTCAAGAGATTCAGCCTGTTAATGTGTTTGTTTCAGTGGGACCCGACCAGACTGAACGACAGCAGCACCTTCGTCCTCGGCTCCAGAGCCAACAAGTGAGTCAACAACACGTCAACAACATTTCAACATTACACCATGTCGACACCATGTCGACAACATGTCAACACACCACCATGTCAACAACATGTCAACAACACACCACCATGTCGACAACATGTCAACAACACACCACCATGTCGACAACACACCACCATGTCAACAACATGTCAACAACACACCACCATGTCAACAACATGTCAACAACACACCACCATGTCGACAACACACCACCATGTCGACAACACACCACCATGTCAACAACATGTCGACAACACACCACCATGTCGACAACATGTCGACAACACACCACCATGTCGACAACACACCATGTCGACAACACAACACCATGTCGACAACACACCATGTCGACAACACACCATGTCGACAACATGTCGACAACACACCACCATGTCAACAACATGTCGACAACACACCACCATGTCGACAACACACCACCATGTCGACAACATGTCGACAACACACCACCATGTCGACAACATGTCGACAACACACCACCATGTCGACAACACACCATGTCGACAACACAACACCATGTCGACAACACACCATGTCGACAACACACCATGTCGACAACATGTCGACAACACACCACCATGTCAACAACATGTCGACAACACACCACCATGTCGACAACACACCATGTCGACAACACAACACCATGTCGACAACACACCATGTCGACAACACACCATGTCGACAACATGTCGACAACACACCACCATGTCGACAACATGTCGACAACACACCACCATGTCGACAACATGACGACAACACACCATGTCGACAACATGTCGACAACACACCATGTCAACAACATGTCAACACACCACCATGTCAACAACACACCACCATGTCGACAACACACCACCATGTCGACAACACACCACCATGTCAACAACATGTCGACAACACACCACCATGTCGACAACATGTCGACAACACACCACCATGTCGACAACACACCATGTCGACAACACAACACCATGTCGACAACACACCATGTCGACAACACACCATGTCGACAACATGTCGACAACACACCACCATGTCAACAACATGTCGACAACACACCACCATGTCGACAACATGTCGACAACACACCACCATGTCGACAACATGACGACAACACACCATGTCAACAACATGTCGACAACACACCATGTCAACAACATGTCAACACACCAACATGTCAACAACACACCAGCATGTCAACAACACACCACCATGTCGACAACATGTCAACAACACACCACCATGTCGACAACACACCACCATGTCGACAACACACCATGTCGACAACACGCCATGTCGACAACACACCATGTCAACAACATGTCGACAACACACCATGTCAACAACATGTCAACACACCAACACCATGTCGACAACATGTCAACACACCACCATGTCAACAACATGTCAACAACACACCACCATGTCAACAACATGTCAACAACACACCACCATGTCAACAACATGTCAACAACACACCACCATGTCGACAACACACCACCATGTCGACAACACACCATGTCGACAACACGCCATGTCGACAACACACCATGTCAACAACATGTCGACAACACACCATGTCAACAACATGTCAACACACCAACACCATGTCGACAACATGTCAACACACCACCATGTCAACAACATGTCAACAACACACCACCATGTCAACAACATGTCAACAACACACCACCATGTCAACAACATGTCAACAACACACCACCATGTCGACAACACACCACCATGTCGACAACACACCATGTCGACAACACACCACCATGTCGACAACACACCATGTCGACAACACACCATGTCGACAACACACCATGTCGACAACACACCATGTCAACAACATGTCAACACACCAACACCATGTCGACAACATGTCAACACACCACCATGTCAACAACACACCACCATGTCGACAACACACCACCATGTCAACAACACACCACCATGTCAACAACATGTCAACAACACACCACCAAGTCGACAACACACCACCATGTCGACAACACACCATGTCGACAACACACCATGTCGACAACACACCATGTCAACAACATGTCGACAACACACCATGTCAACAACATGTCAACACACCAACACCATGTCGACAACATGTCGTCAACACACCACCATGTCAACAACATGTCAACAACACACCACCATGTCAACAACATGTCAACAACACACCACCATGTCAACAACATGTCAACAACACACCACCATGTCAACAACACACCATGTCGACAACACACCACCATGTCAACAACACACCATGTCGACAACACACCACCATGTCGACAACACACCATGTCGACAACACACCACCATGTCGACAACACACCATGTCAACAACATGTCAACAACACACCATGTCAACAACATGTCAACACACCAACACCATGTCGACAACATGTCAACACACCACCATGTCAACAACATGTCAACAACACACCACCATGTCGACAACACACCACCATGTCAACAACACACCACCATGTCAACAACATGTCAACAACACACCACCATGTCGACAACACACCACCATGTCGACAACACACCATGTCGACAACACACCATGTCAACAACATGTCGACAACACACCATGTCAACAACATGTCAACACACCGACACCATGTCGACAACATGTCAACAACACACCACCATGTCAACAACATGTCAACAACACACCACCATGTCAACAACACACCATGTCAACAACACACCATGTCAACAACACACCACCATGTCGACAACACACCATGTCGACAACACACCATGTCGACAACACACCATGTCAACAACATGTCGACAACACACCATGTCAACAACATGTCAACACACCAACACCATGTCGACAACATGTCAACACACCACCATGTCAACAACATGTCAACAACACACCACCATGTCGACAACACACCACCATGTCGACAACACACCACCATGTCGACAACACACCACCATGTCGACAACACACCACCATGTCAACAACACACCACCATGTCAACAACATGTCAACAACACACCACCATGTCGACAACACACCACCATGTCGACAACACACCACCATGTCAACAACATGTCGACAACACACCACCATGTCGACAACATGTCGACAACACACCACCATGTCGACAACATGTCGACAACACACCACCATGTCGACACCATGTCGACAATACACCATGTCGACAACATGTCGACAACACACCATGTCGACAACATGTCAACACACCGACACCATGTCGACAACATGTCAACACACCACCATGTCGACAACATGTCAACACACCACCATGTCAACAACATGTCAACACACCACCATGTCAACAACACACCATGTCGACAACACACCACCATGTCGACAACACACCATGTCGACAACACACCATGTCAACAACATGTCGACAACACACCATGTCAACAACTTGTCAACACACCAACACCATGTCGACAACATGTCAACACACCACCATGTCAACAACATGTCGACAACACACCACCATGTCGACAACATGTCGACAACACACCACCATGTCGACAACATGTCGACAACACACCACCATGTCGACAACACACCATGTCGACAACACACCATGTCGACAACACAACACCATGTCGACAACACACCATGTCGACAACATGTCGACAACACACCATGTCGACAACACACCATGTCGACAACATGTCGACAACACACCATGTCAACAACATGTCAACACACCGACACCATGTCGACAACATGTCAACACACCGACACCATGTCGACAACATGTCAACACACCGACACCATGTCGACACCATGTCAACACACCGACACCATGTCGACAACATGTCAACACACCGACACCATGTCGACAACATGTCAACACACCGACACCATGTCGACAACACACCACCATGTCGACAACACACCACCATGTCGACAACATGTCGACAACACACCACCATGTCGACAACATGTCGACAACACACCACCATGTCGACAACATGTCGACAACACACCACCATGTCGACAACATGTCGACAACACACCACCATGTCGACAACACACCACCATGTCGACAACACACCACCATGTCGACAACACACCACCATGTCGACAACACACCACCATGTCGACAACACACCACCATGTCGACAACACACCACCATGTCGACAACACAACATGTCAACAACACACCACCATGTCGACAACACACCACCATGTCGACAACACACCACCATGTCAACATGTCAACAACACACCACCATGTCAACAACACACCACCATGTCAACAACATGTCGACAACACACCACCATGTCAACAACACGTCGACAACACACCACCATGTCAACAACACACCACCATGTCAACAACATGTCAACAACACACCACCATGTCAACAACATGTCAACAACACACCACCATGTCAACAACATGTCGACAACACAACACCATGTCGACAACACACCATGTCGACAACACACCATGTCGACAACACACCATGTCAACAACATGTCAACAACACACCATGTCAACAACATGTCAACACACCAACACCATGTCGACACCATGTCGACAACATGTCAACACACCGACACCATGTCAACACACCGACAACATGTCGACAACATGTCAACACACCGACACCATGTCAACAACATGTCAACACACCAAGACCATGTCGACACCATGTCGACAACATGTCAACACACCGACACCATGTCAACACCATGTCAACACACCGACACCATGTCGACACCATGTCAACACACCGACACCATGTCGACACCATGTCAACACACCATGTCGACAACATGTCAACAACACACAAAGTGGATACCATGTCAACAACATGTCAACACACCAACACCATGTCGACACCATGTCGACACCATGTCGACACCATGTCGACAACATGTCAACACACCAACACCATGTCGACACCATGTCGACAGAATGTCGACAACATGTCAACACACCAACACCATGTCGACAACATGTCGACAACACACCACCATGTCGACAACATGTCGACAACACACCACCATGTCGACAACACACCATGTCGACAACACACCATGTCGACAACATGTCGACAACACACCATGTCGACAACACACCATGTCGACAACATGTCGACAACACACCGTGTCGACAACATGTCAACACACCGACACCGTGTCGACAACATGTCAACACACCGACACCGTGTCGACAACATGTCAACACACCGACACCGTGTCGACACCATGTCAACACACCGACACCGTGTCGACAACATGTCAACACACCGACACCGTGTCGACAACATGTCAACACACCGACACCGTGTCGACAACATGTCAACACACCGACACCATGTCGACAACACACCACCATGTCGACAACATGTCAACAACACACCACCATGTCGACAACACACCACCATGTCGACAACACACCACCATGTCGACAACACACCACCATGTCGACAACACACCACCATGTCGACAACATGTCGACAACACACCACCATGTCGACAACACACCACCATGTCGACAACACACCACCATGTCGACAACACAACATGTCAACAACACACCACCATGTCAACAACACACCACCATGTCGACAACACACCACCATGTCAACATGTCAACACACCACCATGTCAACAACACACCACCATGTCAACAACACGTCGACAACACACCACCATGTCAACAACACGTCGACAACACACCACCATGTCAACAACACACCACCATGTCAACAACATGTCAACAACACACCACCATGTCAACAACATGTCGACAACACAACACCATGTCGACAACACACCATGTCGACAACACACCATGTCGACAACACACCATGTCAACAACATGTCAACAACACACCATGTCAACAACATGTCAACACACCAACACCATGTCGACACCATGTCGACAACATGTCAACACACCGACACCGTGTCAACACACCGACAACATGTCGACAACATGTCGACAACACACCACCATGTCGACAACACACCATGTCGACAACACACCATGTCGACAACACAACACCATGTCGACAACACACCATGTCGACAACATGTCGACAACACACCATGTCGACAACACACCATGTCGACAACATGTCGACAACACACCATGTCAACAACATGTCAACACACCGACACCATGTCGACAACATGTCAACACACCGACACCATGTCGACAACATGTCAACACACCGACACCATGTCGACAACATGTCAACACACCGACACCATGTCGACAACATGTCAACACACCGACACCATGTCGACAACATGTCAACACACCGACACCATGTCGACAACACACCACCATGTCGACAACACACCACCATGTCGACAACATGTCGACAACACACCACCATGTCGACAACATGTCGACAACACACCACCATGTCGACAACATGTCGACAACACACCACCATGTCGACAACACACCACCATGTCGACAACACACCACCATGTCGACAACACACCACCATGTCGACAACACACCACCATGTCGACAACACACCACCATGTCGACAACACAACATGTCAACAACACACCACCATGTCGACAACACACCACCATGTCGACAACACACCACCATGTCAACATGTCAACAACACACCACCATGTCAACAACACACCACCATGTCAACAACATGTCGACAACACACCACCATGTCAACAACACGTCGACAACACACCACCATGTCAACAACACACCACCATGTCAACAACATGTCAACAACACACCACCATGTCAACAACATGTCAACAACACACCACCATGTCAACAACATGTCGACAACACAACACCATGTCGACAACACACCATGTCGACAACACACCATGTCGACAACACACCATGTCAACAACATGTCAACAACACACCATGTCAACAACATGTCAACACACCAACACCATGTCGACACCATGTCGACAACATGTCAACACACCGACACCATGTCAACACACCGACAACATGTCGACAACATGTCAACACACCGACACCATGTCAACAACATGTCAACACACCAAGACCATGTCGACACCATGTCGACAACATGTCAACACACCGACACCATGTCAACACCATGTCAACACACCGACACCATGTCGACACCATGTCAACACACCGACACCATGTCGACACCATGTCAACACACCATGTCGACAACATGTCAACAACACACAAAGTGGATACCATGTCAACAACATGTCAACACACCAACACCATGTCGACACCATGTCGACACCATGTCGACACCATGTCGACAACATGTCAACACACCAACACCATGTCGACACCATGTCGACAGAATGTCGACAACATGTCAACACACCAACACCATGTCGACAACATGTCGACAACACACCACCATGTCGACAACATGTCGACAACACACCACCATGTCGACAACACACCATGTCGACAACACACCATGTCGACAACATGTCGACAACACACCATGTCGACAACACACCATGTCGACAACATGTCGACAACACACCGTGTCGACAACATGTCAACACACCGACACCGTGTCGACAACATGTCAACACACCGACACCGTGTCGACAACATGTCAACACACCGACACCGTGTCGACACCATGTCAACACACCGACACCGTGTCGACAACATGTCAACACACCGACACCGTGTCGACAACATGTCAACACACCGACACCGTGTCGACAACATGTCAACACACCGACACCATGTCGACAACACACCACCATGTCGACAACATGTCAACAACACACCACCATGTCGACAACACACCACCATGTCGACAACACACCACCATGTCGACAACACACCACCATGTCGACAACACACCACCATGTCGACAACATGTCGACAACACACCACCATGTCGACAACACACCACCATGTCGACAACACACCACCATGTCGACAACACAACATGTCAACAACACACCACCATGTCAACAACACACCACCATGTCGACAACACACCACCATGTCAACATGTCAACACACCACCATGTCAACAACACACCACCATGTCAACAACACGTCGACAACACACCACCATGTCAACAACACGTCGACAACACACCACCATGTCAACAACACACCACCATGTCAACAACATGTCAACAACACACCACCATGTCAACAACATGTCGACAACACACCACCATGTCAACAACACACCATGTCGACAACACACCATGTCGACAACACACCATGTCAACAACATGTCAACAACACACCATGTCAACAACATGTCAACACACCAACACCATGTCGACACCATGTCGACAACATGTCAACACACCGACACCGTGTCAACACACCGACAACATGTCGACAACATGTCAACACACCGACACCATGTCGACAACATGTCAACACACCAAGACCATGTCGACACCATGTCGACAACATGTCAACACACCGACACCATGTCGACAACATGTCAACACACCGACACCATGTCGACACCATGTCAACACACCATGTCGACAACATGTCAACAACACACAAAGTGGATACCATGTCAACAACATGTCAACACACCAACACCATGTCGACACCATGTCGACAACATGTCAACACACCAACACCATGTCGACACCATGTCGACAGAATGTCGACAACATGTCAACACACCAACACCATGTCGACAACATGTCAACACACCAACACCATGTCGACACCATGTCGACACCATGTCGACAGAATGTCAACAACATGTCGACAACACACCATGTCAACAACATGTCAACACACCAACACCATGTCGACAACATGTCAACACACCAACACCATGTCGACAACATGTCAACACACCAACACCATGTCGACACCATGTCAACACACCAACACCATGTCGACACCATGTCAACAACACGTCGACAACACATCATGTCGACAACATGTCGACCCATGTCGACAACGCACCATGTCAACACCATGTCGACAACGCACCATGTCGACAACATGTCAACAACACACAAAGTGGATACCATGTCAATAACATGTCAACACACCAACACCATGTCGACACCATGTCGACAGAATGTCGACAACATGTCAACACACCAACACCATGTCGACACCATGTTGACAGAATGTCGACAACATGTCAACACACCAACACCATGTCGACAACATGTCAACACACCAACACCATGTCGACACCATGTCGACACCATGTCAACACACCAATACCATGTCGACACCATGTCGACAACACGTCGACAACACATCATGTCGACAACATGTCGACCCATGTCGACAACGCACCATGTCAACACCATGTCGACAACGCACCATGTCAACAACATGTCGACAACACACCATGTCAACAACATGTCAACATCATGTCAACATGTCAACGTGAACATCACACCAACAACACACCAACAACATGTCAACATCACACCAACAACATGTCAGTACATCTACAATACGTCAACATGTAAACATGAAGTGAGTCATTATGTGTTGTGATGTCACTGTGCAGGGCGCTGGGGATGGGCGGGACCAGAGGACGCATCTATATCAAACATGCTGATCTGTTTAAGGTAAACACTCACAGCTGCTGATCTCTGATCACCATCAGCGTGTTACAGTCGTCGTTTCTGCTGACACGTTGACCAACAGTTAGAAACATGCCGCTTAGCTGCTTTAGTATTTAACAAACAAGCCGGGGTCTGTGGACGTCACGATACCAGAAACTCAGTTGTCAATTCTGGTACCAGTAAAATTTCAGGATTCTTGACACCTTCTTTGATCCCATGGTAAAAAAACTAAACTTTAATAAATTTTAATAATCCCATCATGCACTTCAACATTCACTCCTTTATTAAAACATCTGAACATTACAGAGACAACTACCAGATGTGAAAGAGAGGATGTCCAGGACAGATGGGAGGCGGTTTATTGTATATGTAATCATGAAGGAGCAAACTGTTGGCATTACAACCTGCAGTGTGCATCTGTAATTAATGAGTTAGTGAAATGTAAAGGGTGGTCAGGATCTGTGCTGTCAGAGGTTATTGATGGTTGAAGTGGATCGTGTGTCTGTGTGTGTCAGTACGCAGCAGATGCGAAGGATAAGCAGTGGTTGGCAGAGAGACACCACATGAGAGCGACGGGAGGGAAGATGGTGAGGAAACGAATTCAAACTCACGTTTATATTTATGTTGACCAACAAGTTAACTTCACACGTGTGTGTGTGTGTGTGTATTCAGGCCTACCTGCTGATCGAGGAGGACATCCAGGATTTGTCTCGCAGTGATGAATACAAGTGAGTCTGACATCACTCCTCTACAAAGGTGTGTCTCGCCGTCTGTGGTTGCCATGGTAACAGCTGTGTGTGTGTGTGTGCGCGTGCAGGGACTGTCCGGACGTCAGGATGGACGAGTTGAAGCCGTTCTCGGTTCCTCTGTGGATGGTGGAGAAGATGCAGCGAGCCATGGAGGCTCAGAGAGACGCTGACCTCTGACCCCACACACTCTGATCACATGACCTCTGACCCTGCACATTCTGACCCCCGTAGTTACAACTCGTCAGATGAAGAAACAACAAGCCAATCAAAGAGCAGGATTGATCGGCTGCTTCAATTGATTGTGTTTTTACTTCCATTTTTAAAAAAATTAAATAAAAACCTTCTGAAACCTGAACCTGTTCACCACCTGTTCATCACCTGTTCATCACCTTTAGTTTTGGATGATTTTCGTATTAATACGATTCAATACAAACAACAGTGTATTGTCTATCAGACAAGAGCATTTTATATTAAACACAATACACCCTAACTTTGGGCCGTGTTAACCTGTGAATGGTGACATGAAATGTTAGTGTAGTTTCAGAATTAAAAAATCCTACATGTTAAAGAGGTGTTATTCTGCTCATTTTCAGGTTCCTCATCTTATTTAGAGTTTGTACCAGAGCAGGTTTACATGGTTATATTTTTGTCATACTGCACGTTGCTGCAGCTCCTCTTTTCAGCCTGTGTTGAAGGCTTCGTTTTAGCTATGGAGTGATACATCTTGTCTCTAAATGATCTTTGTTGGGAGCTGCACATGCTCAGTTCCTAGTTAAGGACTACTAGCCAATCAGAAGCAGAGAAGGGCGGGTCGGCGAGAAGCCGGTAAACGGCTCGGGTTCAGCCGTACGTGTTGCCGACCGGCTCGGCAACACGGACTGGAGCGAGAGTTTCAGAGCGGTGAGTTATTAATCTGTATCCATAAAGTTTTAACTGAGCTCTGTCTCTACATCACAGGAACAACTTTATGTCCACTGACTGCCTGGAGGGTAGCTAGTGTTTGGAAGGGAGAGGAGAGCTGTGTGCTGCAGCTCGCTGTTTCTGAGGGCGTGTCGGCGAGCGTTATATGAGGCGCGTTTAGCTTTCATCCCTGTGACGTCACAGGGATGAAAAGGAAGCGGCTGGACTACAAACGAGCTGTTTTCAGTTCAGAGCAGAGTTTTCTGTGGGAGATGGGAATTCCCTTTGGACTTTTTCACTTAGCAAACCTGTTACAGCACAAAAAAGGTTTATAACTCAATAAAGGAGAGGGAAATACGTCTATGAAGAGGGAAATACCTCCTCTTTAACCGGCGAAGTCATGGAACTCACATTAAAAGAAAGGTCCCCTATCGTGCAGCAAAGGCTGTTACAGACCTTCAACAAGCCGGCATCGGTCCTCACTCGGCATCTGAGGGTTTAACAACCCACTACCACTCCGCCCTCATTGGTTTCGGATGCCACTTGACGTGGCGAAACCTCCACATGAACGCGGAATCTCAGTAACGCACGTTACAATCTCAAAAACCTCACGTTACTGTAACGTACGTTACAATCTCAGTAACGCTCGTACCAATCTCAGTAACGCACGTTACTGTAACGCTCGTAACAATCTCAGTAACGCACATTACTGTAACGCTCGTAACAATCTCAGTAACTCACATTACAATCTCAGTAACTCACGTTACTGTAACGTACGTTACAATCTCAGTAACTCACGTTACAATCTCAGTAACTCACGTTACAATCTCTGTAACGCACGTTACTTTAACACACGTTACAATCTCAGTAATGCAAGTTACAATCTCAGTAATTGACGTTACAATCTCAGTAACGCACGTTACTGTAACGCACGTTACAATCTCAGTAACTCACTTTACTGTAACGCTCGTTACAATCTCAAAAACTCATGTTACTGTAACGCACGTAACAATCTCAGTAACGCCCGTTACAATCTCAGTAACTCTCGTTACAATCTCTGTAACGCACGTTACTTTAACACACGTTACAATCTCAGTAATGCAAGTTACAATCTCAGTAACTCACGTTACAATCTCAGTAATGCCCGTTACTTTAACACACGTTACAATCTCAGTAATGCAAGTTACAATCTCAGTAATTGACGTTACAATCTCAGTAACTCACGTTATAATCTCTGTAACGCACGTTACTTTAACACACGTTACAATCTCAGTAATGCAAGTTAAAATCTCAGTAATTGACGTTACAATCTCAGTAACGCACGTTACTGTAACGCACGTTACAATCTCAGTAACTCACTTTGCTGTAACGCTCGTTACAATCTCAGTAACTCACGTTACTGTAACGCTCGTTACAATCTCAAAAACTCATGTTACTGTAACGCACGTAACAATCTCAGTAACTCACTTTGCTGTAACGCTCGTTACAATCTCAGTAACTCACTTTGCTGTAACGCTCGTTACAATCTCAGTAACTCACGTTACTGTAACGCTCGTTACAATCTCAAAAACTCATGTTACTGTAACGCACGTAACAATCTCAGTAACTCACTTTGCTGTAACGCTCGTTACAATCTCAGTAACTCACTTTGCTGTAACGCTCGTTACAATCTCAGTAACTCACGTTACTGTAACGCACGTTACAATCTCAAAAACTCATGTTACTGTAACGCACGTAACAATCTCAGTAACGCCCGTTACAATCTCAGTAACTCACGTTACAATCTCTGTAACGCACGTTACTTTAACACACGTTACAATCTCAGTAACTCACGTTACAATCTCTGTAACTCACGTTACAATCTCTGTAACGCACCTTACTTTAACACACGTTACAATCTCAGTAATGCAAGTTACAATCTCAGTAATTCACGTTACAATCTCAGTAACGCACGTTACTGTAACGCACGTTACAATCTCAGTAACTCACTTTACAATCTCAGTAACGCACGTTACTGTAACGCACGTTACAATCTCAGTAATGCACGTTACAATCTCAGTAACTCACTTTACAATCTCAGTAACACACCTTACAATCTCAGTAACTCACGTTACTGTAACGTACATTACAATCTCAAAAACTCACGTTACGACCTCAGTAATGCACGTTTTAATCTCAGTAACGCATTTTACAATCTCAGTAACTCACTTTACAATCTCAGTAACTCACGTTACTGTAACGTACGTTACAATCTCAAAAACTCACGTTACGACCTCAGTAATGCACGTTTTAATCTCAGTAACTCACTTTACAATCTCAGTAACTCACGTTACTGTAACGTACGTTACAATCTCAAAAACTCACGTTACGACCTCAGTAATGCACGTTTTAATCTCAGTAACGCATTTTATAATCTCAGTAACTCACTTTACAATCTCAGTAACGCCCGTTACAATCTCAGTAACTCACTTAACAATCTCAGTAACGCACGTTACTGTAACGCCTTGCAGCCCGACATTAAGTGGTGTTTCATATCTTTAATAATTCACCAGCACTGAAACATTTCAGCAGCCGGAAAAACATCTGTGAGTGAAAACATCATTTCCTGTTTCTGGAGTTCGATGGTTGAGATTGTAGGCGAGGTGCAAACTACAGGAGCCAGAGGGAGCTGGGCTCCTCGCAATAAGAGACATTTTGGGGGCCTCACATTTCTATTTTTCTGCATCGTTTTTATCGTGGATGGTCTGTAAATGCAATTGTATGTTTAAGGGTTTCCTGATCAGCTGCTGTCATCCTGTCAGAGATTTAAATAATCAGTGAAATTATGCTGCTGTTCCTCGTGAGCGCACATCGTCTTTCTAAATGTGGAGCTGATTCATCCTGTTTCACCACCCCGACCTCCCCATTAATCAGAAAGATCATTTTTATGACAGAGACCCACCTGATCCGCAGATAGAACTGATCTGTGGGGAACATCATAAAAACAGGAGAACTGAATGAACCATTGGCCCTGATTACGAGCTCTATACCAACACGGCGTCCATTACAGATTAGTAGTTACTGTCTTTTGAGAGTAATTAGTCGTATGACAATATTCCTGTCTCTGAATTGTAAAGCTTCACGTCTGGGTTTCACTGCTTTACTGGGCTCATTCTTCAGACATTAAAGCAACATGCTGATGTAACTTCATCTTTAAATCACGCCACGCTGACCTCAGAGAATGGCGTCTGTCATTACGTCACACACCAAATCCTGCAGGTTGTGACATCACACACTTTATTTAGAAAAATAAACAAACAATAATCAAACAGGAAGCTTGGGGACGATCTGATGTGCTGCAGGCAGGAAGTGACATCACGAGGACGGCGGGACGTCACTCGATCCCTTCCTGTTTGTCCTTGATGGCGACTCTGAAGCGTTCCTCCAGCAGAGAAAGCTCACTGATGAGGTCAGTGATGGCGTTCGTAAACGCTTCCTGTCAACAAAACATCAGATTAAAATTATTAACGTGTTCCAAACATCATTCTAAATTAACTTCAAGCAACAAAACCAAAAATCCTGCTCAGACAGTGAAACTCACCCCACAATACCTGCACAGGTAGAAAAAGATAGAATGTGTATACGAGAGAGCTCCTGACCTAAAATAAACTGAATGTTCATTTCAACTGACCGAACAAACTGTGTGCTCAGAATATTCAGAAAAACTAACCCAGTTATTTTCACGTCTGCGACACTTCAGGGGAAGACGTGAACCACCGCAGTGGTACTGAAGACCAAGTTACCTTGCTGACCTCACTTCATGCTTTGTGGTACAGGCCCCAGATGTGTGTTACCTGTGGACTGTAGTCGTGTGTGTGTGTGTGTGTGTGTGTGTGTGTGTTACCTGTGGACTGTAGTCGTGTGTGTGTGTGTGTGTGTGTGTGTGTGTTACCTGTGGACTGTAGTCGTGTGTGTGTGTGTGTGTGTGTGTTACCTGTGGACTGTAGTCGTGTGTGTGTGTGTGTGTGTTACCTGTGGACTGTAGTCATGTGTGTGTGTGTGTGTTACCTGTGGACTGTAGTCGTGTGTGTGTGTGTGTGTTACCTGTGGACTGTAGTCGTGTGTGTGTGTGTGTTACCTGTGGACTGTAGTCAGGTGTGGTCTGCACTCTGATGACGATCTTGTGTTCCAGAGGATGAGGAACTTTATAACCAGCAAACAGAACCTGAGGATCCTTCAACAGCTGACTGTCACACACACACACACACACACACACACACAGAGAGACACTTTTTAGCTATAAAATATTAATGTGTAATAAGATGAACATGAAGATGTTTTTGTGTCGGTCACGTTCATATGGACCAGGGGTGGTGATGGCGCAATGGATAAGCTGCCTGCCTTTGGTGTGAGAGACCTGGGTTCAATCCCCCACTGTGTCCCTGAGCAAGACACTTAACCCCTCGTTGCTCCATGTATAGCAGCTGTAAGTTGCTATGAATAAATGTTAAGTGGCCCTTTATAAACTGAACCGAAGAAGAAGAACAGTGGTATTAATCACATCTCCTAATACTCAGTGTACCAGATACTGCATACATTAAAGTACTTCATGTGAGCTGCAGACCGACTGGTCTTCATCACGGACGTCTTCCTCTTATAATATAAAGGCTTCAGAGCGAGTAGAGGACAGAGAACCGGAGCTTTGGACCAAACACCTGCAGCCGCACCAGATTCTAGTCAGATAATGGAGCGTTTAGCGGATCAGAGTTTACGGCTTCTCTTTACATTAAAGCTGCAGAGCTCTCACAGAGCGACACCACAGAGGCTGCTGGGAGAAAAGAGAGGAGGCTGAGCTGCCTGGAAGTTCAGAAAAGGTGCGTCTGTATCTGGATTCCAGCTGTCGTTGTACTTTACTGTGAAAGCATAGCCCTGCTCGAGCCAAACTCCATTCAGAAAAACAAGCATTTTAAAAGTTGTTTGCTTTGCTTCTCGCTGACAGACCTGACGAAGCATCAGCTCATATTTTTAACAAACCAGCATCATGTTGTCGTTAATTCAGCATCAGCTAAATGTTTGTTTTGGCTTCAGCTGGACTGATGGAGGGTTGTGTTGATTTGTGTGTGAAACCAGAAGCTGTTTGCGCCTGTTAGCAGAGTTAGCTCTTACGCCCGGATGATGTTAGCATGCTGTTAGCAGAGTTAGCTCTTACGCCCGGATGATGTTAGCATGCTGTTAGCAGAGTTAGCTCTTACGCCCGGATGATGTTAGCATGCTGTTAGCAGAGTTAGCTCTTACGCCCGGATGATGTTAGCATGCTGTTAGCAGAGTTAGCTCTTACGCCCGGATGATGTTAGCATGCTGTTAGCAGAGTTAGCTCTTACGCCCGGATGATGTTGCCCAGCGTGTGGTCCTCCTTGTTCAGCGTGAACAGGCAGGCGTTCGGGACCTTGGTGTCTTTGGTGATCGTGATCTTCTTCTCTCCTTCAAACAGGAGGAACGACTCGAAGGCTGGAGGCGCGTTCATCTTCTCGCTGAGCGCGAGGACCGGAAACACTCCAAAACAAAAACAAGACGTCTTCTTCTGGGTTTATGGCGGATTGTAACCGTGACTCGTACAGGATCGTACCGCCCCCTGCCGAACCGGGTAGAGACTCAACAACTGAATTCTATTAGTGAAGAAAAACTAAACCAAAATAAAAATAAGAAGAAACAAACCCTGTCTGTGTTATCAGTTAACCCACCCTGAGCTCAGCGCCTCTTTTTAAACCAGCAGCTCCTTCAAAATTCAAACTCTTTGTTTTTCAGCATACCGGATCCAGTAAAGATGGAGGACTGACAGTGTTTAAAAACTTTTTTAATATATATATATATATATATATATATATTAAAAAAGTTATATATATATATATATATATATATATATTTTAAAACACATACACACACACGCTTACTGTTTTATTTATTTATTGTATTTTTAATATTTTATTTTAACAAACACACACACACACGCTTACTGTTTTGTTTATTTATTTATTTTAATTTTTAACTTTTTTTTTTTAAACACAAACACACATACACTTTGATTACTTTACGCTTTAATTGTTTAATGAAATGTATGGGGCTGATTGTTCTTATGTTGTGTATATATGGTGCTTTGGCAATGTTGTTATTACATTCATGCCAATAAAGCTAATTTGAATTTGAAAAACACATTTGAGTGCATTTTAGACACTTTCGTTCTTTATATTAAACTAAACTAAAGTCAGAGGTGTTGTTGTTTAACTGGACCCCGGTCAGATCTTTTGTTTGTTTGTTTGTTTAGTTATTTCCTTGTTGTTGTTTGTTATCTTCGCGTTGTTAAATTTGTTTTCTGCAAAATATAAAATGTGTTTTTGAATCTCAACTCTGTGACGTCAAAACGTAGTTCGGTCGGGTTGCGTTGCGTTCCGAAGAAGTCCCTCCTGCCCAATCACATCACTGTTTCTTCCTCGCGCGCTCTTGTCATTGGTTAGCAGGAAAAGGTTTGTTTTTGAAAGTCGGGCGCTGATTGGCTGTGTGTGTGAGACAGAGCCGGTTTAAACCGGGGGGCGGGAGCGTTTTCAGTTAGACTCAGAGGAGAAGCGGCTCCGGTCAGGCGACACACGGTGAGTCCCGCAGGTAGCGTCTCACCTGCTTTATACTCCCGGGAAAGTCCGTCCGTACAGGGTCGGAGGCAGCGGTTAGTTTCTCTGTCGGTGGCGGGAACAATAAACTGTCTTAACAGCGGAGCTAACGTTCAGTTAGCCGGCTGAGCTAACGGCGCTACCGGAGTTAGCACGGAGCTAAAACTGACCCGGAGCTAAACAAGCTACTACTAACTAGCTTACCGGTAACTGACCTACCGGGGAACCCCGGTATCGCCGGGCTGTGTAACTTAGGTTACGGTTCAACCGGTAAACGTTCTTCAGTGGGAACGTTACGTCCTGTAGCTAACATGTAGCAGCTGTGTGCTAACGAGAAGGAAATGTGTTTTCCGTGAAGGCGGAGGTCATCAGCTGTCTGTCCGTCTCTCTCCAGCAGTACCGGTACCAGCACTCATGGCCTCTCAGAACCTGGACCCAGCAGCAGCAGCAGCTTCCTCCACAGCCGCCCTGAAGGGCAGCGAGAGCGGCGGCAGCGCGGCCAGAGGCGCCGTGTCCAAACGGTGAGAGACTGCGGTACCGGTCCGTGTGTCCCGCTGACCGGACCGAGCAGTGTCAGGTGTCCCTGATGACTGACTGGAGTTGTAAAAAATGAAAGTTCTGTGTAAAACAAGGTGATGATGGTAGTTAGGAGTGAGTCCTTAGCATTAATAATTAGAGGGCATGTAGAGAATGTTTCTCTCTCAGGGCTTCAATGACTGAAAAAAGGAGACATGTTTTGTCTTTAAGCTTTTTGGACATTATCGATGATGACGAAGACTTCAGGTGCTAACTGTGTCTCTGTGTGTCTGCAGGTTACAGCAGGAGCTCATGACCCTGATGGTGAGTTAACATCTGTTTGTCTCTTCATCCAGTTCAGCCGCCACAATAACCACAAGTCACATGATACAATTTTTCCACCACTGACGGGGAAACGCGTCACCTCTCTGTGATGGTGGCTTCCAGCTAGCTAAAGTCCCTCTAACCTGTCCAGCTTCAGCTCCGCTTTGAAAACATCTGGCCCACATCAGAGCCTTCCATCTGGGAATCCACACCGACTACAGCCGACACTTTATTATTATTATGGTTTCCTCTTCTTCTACGGACGCATTCAGTGTGGTGACGGGCATCTACACTGCTGGGATTATATACAAGCAGTGAAGATGAAACGCGCTCTGTAGCACTGTTTGTCCTTTGTCGGCTGCCGTAGGAATGTGACGACACGACGCGGTGTCTGAAGACAGAAATGTCTCATTCTAAGGCGATAAAGACACGACGGTTCATTATGGGAGGTCTTTATACAGCACTTCTGTAAATAACATCAGAGTGCGGTCTAGACCTGCTCTTTTATGAAAAGTGCTCTGAGGGAACTTGTGATTTGGCGCTAAATAAAATTGAACCTCCGAAGACGGTCCTGGTCTTAGATTGCGTTCCTGTCAGACCCTCAGAAATATTCCACACTGGACCTTTAACAGCCAGATGTTCAGATGTAACAGCAGCTGTCTCGTGTGTAGTTCAGGCTCCTCCTGCAGCCGGCGTAAATGTGGACCTTTCTGTGGCGAACATTGTTGCTGGTGCAGAGACGTTACGGGGCCCCTGTGTTCAGATGGGGGGCCAAAAAATATCTGGCCGCTGCCTTGTAGTTACTGGAAATGTGACGTGATTCTGAAAATACCAACGGTACATGAACGTTACGGAGAAATGAAACATTCTCCCAAAACTGCACATGACCGGCGTGACGCCGGCACGCGCTCAGTCGCCCATCTGCCCCGCCAGCCGTCTTTTTCTTCCTCCTGCTGTTGGCAGCACACATGACAGTATTTTCAGCTGTTGGTGAAATGCACCCTGGGAGTCGTAGTTGACTTCTCAACTTGTTTTTCTGTGTTGATGACATCATGTGACCTCTCTGTTGATGATGCAGATGTCAGGTGACAAGGGGATCTCAGCGTTTCCAGAATCTGATAATCTCTTCAAATGGATCGGCACCATCGACGGAGCTCAGGGGACGGTGCGCACACCCATACACTCTCACTCTGTCTGTCTCTCACTCTGTCTGTCTGTCTCTCACTCTGTCTGTCTGTCTCTCACTCTGTCTGTCTGTCTCTCACTCTGTCTGTCTGTCTCTCACTCTGTCTGTCTGTCTCTCACTCTGTCTGTCTGTCTCTCGCTGACGTGTGTGTCTGTCTCTGTCTCTCGCTGACGTGTGTGTCTGTCTCTGTCTCTCGCTGACGTGTGTGTCTGTCTCTCTCTCACGCTGACGTGTGTGTCTGTCTCTCACGCTGACGTGTGTGTCTGTCTCTCGCTGACGTGTGTGTCTGTCTCTGTCTCTCGCTGACGTGTGTGTCTGTCTCTGTCTCTCGCTGACGTGTGTGTCTGTCTCTCTCTCACGCTGACGTGTGTGTCTGTCCTCAGGTGTACGAGGGCCTCAGGTACAGGTTGTCTCTGGAGTTCCCGGCTGGGTACCCGTACCAGGCTCCTCGTGTGAAGTTCGTCACGGCGTGTTTCCATCCCAACGTGGACGAACAAGGCTTCATCTGTCTGGACATCCTGAAGGACAAATGGTCGGCGCTGTACGACGTGCGCTCCATCCTGCTGTCCATCCAGAGCCTGCTGGGAGGTAACCTCTCTCCTGTCGCTCGTGCTGATCAGCGGCTGTGTGTTGTTGCCGCACCAGCTTTTAATTTACCTGAGGTCGGTTAGTTTGTCCGGTTCACCTGAAGAGAAGCGTTCTGCTCACGACCTCGCCACGTCACTGATGGCGATGCAGTGATTACTGTACGTCACTGTTAGCGGCGCTTTAAAACGTCATGGTTAATGAGGCCCGTTATTCTAATTATTTTGTTTCACTGCGCCGGTTTGTCGCTGCGTTGAGCAACACGCATGCATCAGCTGTGTAAATAAAACACAGCTACCAGTTAGTTTCTATAAACTGAGCTAACGTTAACCAACTTAGCTGCTGTAGAAGCTGTGCAGCCTGGTGGGGGCAGACCGACCTTACACGCTGTAACCGACTCAGCACATTTACTACCAGAATATTTCTCGTTCGCTACGCAGCTGCTGATTGACACGCTGCTCTGATGCAGAGATGTTCTGTGAAGAACGAGGAGAGGAAGCGCAGCGAGTGTTACCTCGCTCGCTCAATGTGTGCGTGAAAATTCAGTTATTAATCACGCTGCATCACTTAAACTCGTGTAGACGAGAGTTGACAACAAGTTAACAAGAAATGAAGTTGATATTCCTGTTAGTAACAACACGAACACGTTACAGACCGACGGTAACTTGGAGTCATTAGTGTTGTGACATTAATTATAATCAATTATTCCTCAGACTAGAACCACCAACAACCTGTGATCGTTGGTCTGAAGTAGTTTCAGAAACTCTCACGATAACAAAGGATTTATTAAAAGGTTTGTGTTGGAGATGAGCGGCGGGCGTGTCGGCTCGGCTGGCGTTCTAACAGTTTGTTTGTTTCCTCAGAACCGAACAACGAGAGTCCTCTGAACACGGCGGCGGCTGAACTCTGGGACGACCAGGAAGGTGAGGACCGTGAACTGTCATGAGGTTAAAGTCCAGCAGCGCTCAGCTGGTAGTTTCACAAGGAACTGAAACGAATTAACATTAACGACCTGGAACGTAGTGTTTAAGCCGCTGCTGTGAACCCGCACGCTCGCTCACTCGTGGCGTCCGACTCGACACGACCACTTTTCTTTTGAGGTAATTGTGGTCACGTTAACTGAGGGTTTGAACTGCGTTTCCAGATTTAGTGGCTCAGGTATTACAACCTTTATGGTAAAAGCTGCAGAGCGTCCTGCCGGCAGAGAGGCTGTTAAATCTTTTATTGTTAACACGAGTCCCACATACAAAATAATTTATCAAGTTGGACTTGGTGAATGTAGCGCGAGGATACACACGTGCCAACGTCCGGTTTTCAGGATAAGGTAATTAAACAGTATGGCAGTAAGATTAACTGGATTATATTCACAGGACGTATTCAGCATGTTGCACGTGTCCATGAAAAGTAAAATAAAATGTCAGGAAAATTACCTGCTGGGAAAACAGGACATTTAGTTTTTTCATCTCCACTTAGATCTGCACAGCGTGTTCAGGGTCACCTTGTTTACGAAGAAGTTGTTCTTCACAGATCTGGCCTCTTCATTTTGCTTCTAAAATGCACAGTTTCTTCGGAGACACAGTTTCACATGAGCTGCGTTCGAGCCGCATCCTGAACTTGTGGACGCTTATTTCCCCGCAGAGGAAGTCCTTCACTCGTCACGTCTCCCGAAGCCGTTTCTGACGACTGTTGAATGTCTTTCAGAACTTTTCAAAGTAAAAACTCTAGGAGGAAGTGATGTACACGTTGCCGTCCTGACTGAGATCCGTTTCAAAGTATTGATTTATGTATTTGGCCTGTCGACCTGCTGCAGGTGAGACGCGCGTCGGCCCCTGGGAACGGGCCCCGCACTAGCTGATCAGTTTTGTTTCAGCTGGAACTGTTAGGCGTGTGAATGCAGCAGGGGCTGATGGGAGATTTGGTTCTAACAGCTGTTTGTCTCTTTCAGCCTTTAAAGCTCATCTGCACTCGACCTTCCAGAAGTGAAGCTGCTCCTCGTCTCTGTCTGTCTTCTTCTGTGTCTGTACAATATTTTTATGTTTGTTCACTTACCTGTATCAATAAAGTTCTTAATTCAACACACACGCTGGCTGGCTCCTCATTGGCCCGTTCACGAGTCTGTCAGGAGGAAGTTCTGTCTCTGAAACCGGGAACTGTCTTTACATACAGTATTTCTCTTGATGCATAAAATTTATACGCAGCATTTCTGTGCGTTTCAGAGAAGCATGTAGAAATAAAAACACTGATCATAGCAAAGAAAACGTTCCACTAACGGCTCAGACTGATTTCATTCTTCTCTTGGTTCTAAACTCGAGTTTGTTTGTGGATATCTTACCTGAACGGTTTTAATGATGTTAAATGATGATTCATCATTTACATTTAGCTGACGCTTTTATCTAAAGCGACTTACAATTGCTATACATGTCAGAGGTCGCACGCCTCTGGAGCAACAAAGGGTTAAGTGTCTTGCTCAGGGACACAATGGTGTCTCAGTGGACTTGAACCCGGGTCTCGCACCAAAGGCATGTATCTTATCCACTACTCCATCTCCACATCAGATCAGTTTCAGGGAAGAAGTGAACGTTCTCGTATTAAACCCGGAGACTCTGCTCTGATACAACAAACATAATAAAGGTCTGAAAGAACCTGATTTGTTGAGCTGACGGTGATCAGGTGAATCTACGTTTCCTCCGCGGCTGCTGGGAAACCTTAATAGTAGTTTAATGTGATAAAGATAGATTGATCATATCTAGTATAGAAGTGCTGACTAAGGGTAAAACATCTTTAAGCAGCCTAGTCAGGATGGGGTCTAAGAGGCAGGTTGATGGTTTAGATGAAGAAATTATTGAAGTTAGTTGGTAAAGATTGAGGGAAGCAAAACAGTCTAAACATGTATCTGGTTCTACAGCTGTTTGTTCCTATTTTCCTCTTAATGACGAGTTCTGGAGTTACGGAGACGCTTCCTGTAAGTTTTACTTACCGGATTACTGTCATTACTGAAGAATCAACAGCTAGAAGTAGTTTACTTAAAACAATGCTTCAGACGTCATGAGCTCGTCGTGTTTGTAATATCTAAAGCTGTAGGAAGTATTACAATTCACTGACGTGCTGCAGTACAAGTACAACAGTAGTGTAACTAAAGTACCTCAGCTCCGTACTGCAGTACAGCACCTCAGTAAATGTACTGTGTAACATTCGGTCGCTGGTCACGTGAAGCTGAAAGTACTTTGAACTGACAGTATAATACTGTGTAAGGACGCTAAAAGTTGAGATCTTCCCCCAGTGCGTTACAAAGTGACGCCAGCGGGTCTTGACCACGTGTCCTCCTGTGACGGGGTGAGGAATTTAACAAAATAAAAGACAGGCTTCTTCTCCAGAACACGTGAGTAAATGGACCTTTAGAACAGACACCGTCATGTGATCAGTTTACTGCTACCATCACGATCAGCTGCTGTCTTCCCATGATGCAGTGCTTCAGGCGACTTTTTGCTCTCAGAACATGCTTTTATTTTGACAGATTTCAGTCTGTGGGGGAAACGCAGTATATAAAATCAGACTTACTGAAGTTTATTGTTTATTATTCAGACAGAAGTGAGGCGCCAGTGATGATGTCAGGAGTGATCGAGGTGAGGTCCGCGGTCTGGACCGTGCCCCCCCTTTACCCGACACAGCCCAGTCCGCAGCACGGCGGCTGGCAGCAGGCGGCCATCTTGGTGTTGGAGGCGATGTGGACCTCCATCAGGTCCTCCAGGCTGTCGTCCGGCTCCTCCAGTTCACCCTGAGCCTCGGCCCACGCCGGCTGGGTTGCCTCCACTGACCAGAACGCTACAGGAACCTGCAGAACACAGCAGGACACTTAGACCAGGTACGAGACCGGTTTTACCTTCAGACCTGGGTCTGGTCTGCAGGTGGGATCCTGTCATGGCGTTCTCTCACCCTCAGCTGCATGTCGCTCAGCACGTCCTCCAGTGCTGAAATTTGATTGGTCAGATCAGGACTCTCCTCCTCCTCCAAGGTGAGCCACGGCGCCTGGACTGCGGCCACTCGAGCTGCCACGCCCACCACGCCGTCAGTACATCCTGGAGAGAGGACAGACGTAAGAAACCTTCAGGGAGGTTCTAGGAATCGCTGAGGAGGCTGGACGATACTCACTTCAATTCAATTTTATTTATATAGCGCCAAATCACAACAACAGTTATCTCACAGCGCCTCATAAAGAGCAGGTCTAGACCGAACTCTGTGATGTTATTTACAGAAGCCCAACAGTTCCCACCAAGAGCAGCACTAGGAGTAGTAAGGTACTATGAGCTCTTTAAGATAAGATGGTGCCTGACCATTAAGAGCTTTGTAGGTAAGAAGAATGATTTTAAATTCTATTCTGGATTTTACTGGAAGCCAATGCAAAGAAGCTAAAACAGGAGAAATGTGATCTCTTTTCCTGGTTCCTGTCAGAACACGTGCTGCAGCATTCTGGATCAGCTGAAGAGTCTTAATGGACTTTTTCGAGCAGCCTGATAATAAGGAATTGCAGTAATCCAGCCTAGAAGTAACAAATGCATGGACTAGTTTTTCTGCATCATTTTTAGACAGGATGTTCCTGATTTTCGCAATATTACGTAGGTGAAAAAAGGCGGTCCTTGAAATTTGCTTAATGTGAGACTTAAACGACCTGATCAAAGATAACTCCAAGATTCCTCACAGTGGTGCTGGAGGCCACGGCGATGCCATCCAGGGAAACTATATCTTTAGATAATGCGTCACGGAGGTGCTTAGGCCCCAGAACAATAACTTCAGTTTTGTCTGAGTTTAACATGAGAAAGTTACAGGTCATCCAGGTTTTAACATCCTGAAGGCACATTTGAAGTTTAGCTAACTGATGAGTTTCTTCTGGTTTGATCGATATAACTGAGTATCATCTGCATAACAATGAAAGTTTATGGAATGTTTCCTGATAATATTGCCTAAAGGAAGCATATATAAAGTGAAGAGGATTGGTCCGAGGATAGATCCTTGAGGAACTCCATGACTAACTTTGGCGTGCATGGAGGACTCATCGTTAACATGTACAAACTGAAATCGATCTGATAAATAGGACTTAAACCAGCTTAGAGCGGTTCCTTTAATGCCAATGAAATGTTCCTGTCTCTGCAATAGGATCTGATGGTCAAATGCAGCACTAAGATCTAATAAAACCAGTACAGAGACAAGTCCTTTGTCTGATGCAATAAGGAGGTCATTAGTAATTTTCACCAGTGCTGTCTCTGTGCTATGATGAGCTCTAAATCCTGACTGAAAATCCTCAAATAAACTATTGCTCTGTAGAAAGTCACACAGCTGTTTAGCAACTGCTTTCTCCAGAACCTTAGAGAGAAATGGAAGGTTAGATATAGGTCTATAGTTGGCTAAAACATCCGGATCAAGTTTGGGCTTTTTCAGAAGAGGTTTAATTACAGCTACTTTAAAGTACTGTGGTACATAGCCTGTTGATAAAGATAGATTGATCATATCTAGTATAGAGGTGCTGACTAAGGGTAGAACATCTTTAAGCAGCCTAGTCGGGATGGGGTCTAAGAGGCAGGTTGATGGTTTAGCTGAAGAAATTATTGAAGTTAGTTGGTAAAGATTGAGGGAAGCAAAACAGTCTAAACATATATCTGGTTCTACAGCTGTTTCTAAGGTTCCTGAGTTAAGAGATAAGTCGGTGCCAGTTGAGGGCAGGTCTTGGTGAATTTTGTTTCTAATAGTTAGAATTTTATCATTAAAGAAGCTCATGAAGTCGTAACTACTGAGAGCTATGGGAATACTTGGCTCAATAGAGCTGTGACTCTCTGTCAGCCTGGCTACAGTGCTGAAAAGAAACCTGGGGTTGTTCCTATTTTCCTCTATTAATGACGAGTAGTACGCTGCTCTGGCATTACGGAGGGCCTTCCTATAAGTTTTAAGACTATCTTGCCAAATTAAACGACAATTTTCCACTTTGGTGGAACGCCAATTCCTCTCAAGTTTCCGTGATATTTGCTTTAATTTGCGAGTTTCAGTATTATACCATGGAGCTAACCGTCTTTGTTTTAGTATTTTCTTTTTTAGAGGGGCTACAGAGTCGAGTGTCATTCGCAGCGAGCCTGCAGCACTATCAACAAGATGATCGATTTGGGAGGGACTGAAACTAGCATAGGAGTCCTCCGTTACTTTGTGACTAGATAATGTATTTAGAGCTGATGGAATCGCATCCTTAAATTTAGCTACAGCACTATCAGACAGACATCTTGTATAGAAATTTTTGCCCAATGGCGAGTAGTTCAGCAATACAAACTCAAAAGTTATCAAACAGTGGTCGGACAAAGAGGGATTCTGTGGGAACACCACTAAATGTTCAATTTCAATACCATATACCAGAACAAGGTCGAGGGTGTGGTTAAAACAGTGAGTCGGTTCATGAACACTCTGAGAGAAGCCAATGGAATCTAACAGAGAGATAAACGCAGTACTGAAGCTGTCATTCTCAACGTCCACATGAATATTAAAATCCCCTACAATAATAACTTTGTTGTAGTCAGATTTGGCAGGGGTCCAGAGAAAACTACGGTGTCCGACATTGTTTTTGCATATGTACACACCGACTCAACATTAATCTTAGTGACCTCCGATTGGCGTAACCGGGAGTCATTACCGCCGACGTGAATAACAATCTTACTGTATTTACGTTTATCCTTAGCCAGCAGTTTCAAATAAGACTCAATGTCGCCCCCTCTGGCCCCAGGGATGCACTTAACTATGGCCGCTGGCTTCGCTAACTTCACGTTTCTCAAAATGGAGCTGCCAATGATCAGAGTTGGTTTCTCAGCGGGTGTGTCGCTGAGTGGGGAAAATCTGTTAGAAACGTGAACAGGTTGATGATGCCCCGTGGACTTTGAATGCTTACGACTATACCTCCTTCAGACAGTCACCCAGCCCCCCCTTTCCTGGCTGCTCAGGAGATGCTACCAGAGGCTAACTCATTTCTGTGTTCAGGGCCCCACTGAGTAAAAGGGGCCCCTTGAAGAGGTTCTCGTGGTCCTCAATAATCGGACTGCAAGGAACCTGGGTCAGACCCCTGAGGACCAGCTGCCTCCTCCTGCTCCTTCACATCATCAGGATGCTTCTGTTCCTCACCCAGGAGGCGTTGCGGGTTCCACCTGGTTCTGGTTCATCTGGTTCTGGTCCATCTGGCTCTGGTTCTGATCCACCTGGTTCTGGTTCATCTGGCTCTGGTCCACCTGGTTCTGGTTCTGGTTCATCTGGCTCTAGTCCATCTGGCTCTGGTTCTGATCCACCTGGTTCTGGTCCATCTGGTTCTAGTCCACCTTGTTCTGGTTCATCTGGTTCTGGTCCACCTTGTTCTGATCCACCTGGTTCTGGTCCATCTGGCTCTGCTCCATCTGGTTCTGGTCCACCTGGCTGTGGTCCACCTGGTTCTGATCCACCTGGTTCTGGTCCAGGTCCACCTGGTTCTGGTCCACCTGGTTCTGTTTCATCTGGTTCTGATCCACCTGGCTGTGGTCCACCTGGTTCTGGTCCATCTGGCTCTGCTTCATCTGGTTCTGGTCCACCTGGCTGTGGTCCACCTGGTCCAGGTCCACCTGGTTCTGGTCCACCTGGTTCTGGTTCATCCGGTTCTGATCCACCTGGTTCTGTTCCAGGTCCACCTGGTTCTGGTTCATCTGGTTCTGGTCCATCTGGTTCTGGTCCACCTTGTTCTGATCCACCTGGTTCTGGTCCACCTGGCTGTGGTCCACCTGGTTCTGATCCACCTGGTTCTGGTCCAGGTCCACCTGGTTCTGAACCACCTGGTTCTGGTCCATCTGTCTCTGCTCCATCTGGTTCTGGTCCACCTGGCTGTGGTCCACTTGGTTCTGATCCACCTGGTTCTGGTCCAGATCCACCTGGTTCTGGTCCACCTGGTTCTGGTTCATCTGGTTCTGATCCACCTGGCTGTGGTCCACCTGGTTCTGGTCCACCTGGTTCTGGTCCATCTGGCTCTGCTTCATCTGGTTCTGGTCCACCTGGTTCTGATCCACCTGGTTCTGGTCCAGGTCCACCTGGTTCTGGTCCACCTGGTTCTGGTTCATCTGGTTCTGATCCACCTGGTTCTGGTTCTTGTCATTTCTTGCCCAGACTAATGCGACGGCTCCTCACAACGAGCTCCCCGTCGACATCAGGAAGCAGAAACTCACCTGTTCAGACTGAGAAGCTGAGTAGCTCAGCCAATCACAGAGCTTCCACAGACAGGAAGTTGAAGCCATTGGCTTACCTGTGTTGACCAGCAAGCGTCTGTCGTATCGCTGGGTCAGAGGGAACCGTCCAATCAGATCGCAGGCCTTACGGAGGTCAGACAGGAAGTTCTCCAACGCTGACAGGAAGAGAACCCACAGACGCTCTGACACCTGTCTGTCCTCCACACCTGAGGGGGCGGAGTCACAGTCTGACAGCAGGTCCACCAGACGCCGGGACAGACCTGTAGACAGACAGGTGAGAGACAGACGGACATGTGAGAGACAGACGGACAGGTGTGAGAGATGGACAGGTGAGAGACAGACCTGCAGACAGACAGGTGAGAGACAGACGGACATGTGAGAGACAGACCTGCAGACAGAAAGGTGAGAGAGAGACAGACAGGTGAGAGACAGACGGACAGGTGTGAGAGATGGACAGGTGAGAGACAGACCTGCAGACAGACAGGTGAGAGACAGACGGACATGTGAGAGACAGACGGACAGGTGTGAGAGATGGACAGGTGAGAGACAGACCTGCAGACAGACAGGTGAGAGACAGACGGACATGTGAGAGATGGACAGGTGAGAGACAGACGGACAGGTGTGAGAGATGGACAGGTGAGAGACAGACGGACATGTGAGAGACAGACCTGCAGACAGAAAGGTGAGAGAGAGACAGACAGGTGAGAGACAGACGGACAGGTGTGAGAGATGGACAGGTGAGAGACAGACCTGCAGACAGACAGGTGAGAGACAGACGGACATGTGAGAGACAGACGGACAGGTGTGAGAGATGGACAGGTGAGAGACAGACCTGCAGACAGACAGGTGAGAGACAGACGGACATGTGAGAGATGGACAGGTGAGAGACAGACGGACAGGTGTGAGAGATGGACAGGTGAGAGACAGACGGACATGTGAGAGACAGACCTGCAGACAGAAAGGTGAGAGAGAGACAGACAGGTGAGAGACAGACGGACAGGTGTGAGAGATGGACAGGTGAGAGACAGACCTGCAGACAGACAGGTGAGAGACAGACGGACATGTGAGAGACAGACGGACAGGTGTGAGAGATGGACAGGTGAGAGACAGACCTGCAGACAGACAGGTGAGAGACAGACGGACATGTGAGAGACAGACCTGCAGACAGAAAGGTGAGAGAGAGACAGACAGGTGAGAGACAGACGGACAGGTGTGAGAGATGGACAGTTGAGAGACAGACCTGCAGACAGACAGGTGAGAGACAGACGGACATATGAGTGATGGACAGGTGAGAGACAGACCTGCAGACAGACAGGTGAGAGACAGACGGACATATGAGAGACAGACGGACAGGTGTGAGAGATGGACAGGTGAGAGACAGACGGACATGTGAGAGACAGACCTGCAGACAGACAGGTGAGAGACAGACGGACAGGTGTGAGAGATGGACAGGTGAGAGACAGACCTGCAGACAGACAGGTGAGAGACAGACGGACATGTGAGTGATGGACAGGTGAGAGACAGACCTGCAGACAGACATGTGAGAGACAGACGGACATGTGAGAGACAGACCTGCAGACAGAAAGGTGAGAGACAGACGGACAGGTGTGAGAGATGGACAGGTGAGAGACAGACCTGCAGACAGACAGGTGAGAGACAGACGGACAGGTGTGAGAGATGGACAGGTGAGAGACAGACCTGCAGACAGACAGGTGAGAGAGAGACAGACAGGTGAGAGACAGACCTGCAGACAGACATGTGAGAGACAGATGGACATATGAGAGACAGACGGACAGGTGTGAGAGATGGACAGGTGAGAGACAGACCTGCAGACAGACATGTGAGAGACAGACGGACAGGTGTGAGAGATGGACAGGTGAGAGACAGACCTGCAGACAGACATGTGAGAGATAGACGGACATGTGAGAGACAGACCTGCAGACAGACAGGTGAGAGACAGACGGACAGGTGTGAGAGATGGACAGGTGAGAGACAGACCTGCAGACAGTCAGGTGAGAGAGAGACAGACAGGTGAGAGACAGACCTGCAGACAGACATGTGAGAGACAGACGGACAGGTGTGAGAGATGGACAGGTGAGAGACAGACCTGCAGACAGTCAGGTGAGAGAGAGACAGACATGTGAGAGACAGACCTGCAGACAGACATGTGAGAGACAGACGGACATGTGAGAGACAGACCTGCAGACAGACAGGTGAGAGAGAGACAGACAGGTGCAGGTCTTCGTACCGCAGCAGATTCGGTGTGCGAGCGCTCTTGTCTCGTCCATCTCGTCTCGCAGGAAGCTGCCATCCACCGAGCTGCCGAGTGACGCCGCCAGCTGTTGGAAACAGGAAGTGACCCGACTGAACGCCTCCTGAGCGCGCTCACACTCACCCTGCCGCCGCCGCCGCACCACCAGCTCGTTGACCGAACGATGCCACCGACTCATGATGTCATCACTCACCTGCCGAGAGTAGGACAGGTGAGGTGATTGATTGTTAGGTGGCGATCATTGAGTAAACACCTGATCTCTAAGATGAACACGAACAGCTGACGGACAGACCTGAGACGACACAGGTGAGAGATCTTTGGGACAGAGCGTTTTTGAGAAAGTGACTGACTGAATGAAGGTGAGAAGGTGAAAACGTGAGAAGAGAAGGGAAACGTCTCCAGGTCCAGCGGATCTGGAGCAGCGTGAGACGTGATATTTATTTATTTAAATGAGTAGATACATTTTTTATCACGAAGAAAATTAATTAATAATTCTAGTCACATGAAACTGACATTTTAAAGTTGATCTCAGCTTCTGTTCAAACTGCAACTTCACTCACACAAAGCTGTAACTCCACATTTTTATCTGTAACAGAAACAAGATGTTATTATTTTCTCATACATGTGGAGATTTTAACCCTAACCGTCAGGATTAAAAACTATAAACCTGTCTGACGTTAAAAGATTCAGAATAAAGTTGTCTTACCTGCTGCTGATCACGACTCCATCTGCGACCTTTTTCTTCTGTGGTTGGAGAGCGTGCAGCGTCAGGCAGGTAAACACTCATCTTCTTTTCCTCTCGGGGGAGCGTCAGTGTTTTTAATTAACACCTGGGGGCCAGCTGAGGCCCCAAACCTCTCAGGAGACTCTGAAGTTTCCCCTGAGCTATACCTCACAGGCCAACCCCTCTGTCAGGGATTCACCTGTCCAGGTACACGGCGTCGGGTCAAGGTTATTAATAGAAAGAAGAACCCGGGTCAGGTTGTTGCTGTTCTTTCCATCCAGGAAAACAAGCGTCACTGTTGTCATACTAAAGACGTTCGTTAGCATTGATCGTTATTCTGCAGACGGAAAATAATGAACTTCAGCAACCTCTTAGCTAATGCTACGCTAGGCTAAAAGTTTCCCTCTGCCTCCAGTCTAATGCAATGCTAGGCTAATAGTTTCCCTCTGCATCCAGTTTAATGCTAAGCTACGCTAACAGTTTCCCTCTGCTTCCAGTTTAATGCTCCGCTAGGCTAACAGTTTCCCTCTGCCTCCAGTCTAATGCTATGCTACGCTAACAGTTTCCCTCTGCCTCCAGTCTAATGCTATGCTACGCTAACAGTTTCCCTCTGCCTCCAGTCTAATGCTATGCTACGCTAACAGTTTCCCTCTGCCTCCAGTCTAATGCAATGATAGACTAATAGTTTCCCTCTGCATCCAGTTTAATGCTAAGCTACGCTAACAGTTTCCCTCTGCTTCCAGTTTAATGCTCCACTAGGCTAACAGTTTCCCTCTGCCTCCAGTCTAATGCTATGCTACGCTAACAGTTTCCCTCTGCCTCCAGTCTAATGCTAAGCTAGGCTAACAGTTTCCCTCTGCCTACAGTCTAACGCTAATCTAGGCTAACAGTTTCCCTCTGCCTCCAGTCTAATGCTATGCTACGCTAACAGTTTCCCTCTGCCTCCAGTCTAATGCTAAGCTAGGCTAATGGTCCTGGACCTCAGTGAAATTCAATTCAATTCAATTCAATTTTATTTATATAGCGCCAAATCACAACAACAGTTATCTCACAGCGCTTTTCATAAAAGAGCAGGTCTAGACCGAACTCTGTGATGATATTTACAGAAGCCCAACAGTTCCCACCAAGAGCAGCACTAGGCGACAGAGGCAAGGAAAAACTTCCTTTTAAGAGGCAGAAACCTCGAGCAGAACCATGACTCAGGGTGGGCGGCCATCTGCCTCGACCGGTTGGGGTGAGAGAGAGAGAGAGAGAAAGAGAGAGAGAGAGAGTGAGAGAGAGAGAGAGAGAGAGAGAGAGGGATGTAAGGAGAGAGAGAGGGGAGGGAGGCAGCCTACACAATATACACACAGAGGTACAGACAGCGAAGGTAATGTTGCTATAAACTAAATGGAAAATGGTACAGATATTTATAATAGTGTTAATGGTAACCATCGTAATGTTAATGATTATAATAACAATAAGACCAGCGACAACAGTCGCTGCAGCAGAGGGTGTCGAGCAGGAACACGGGGGCAGCAGGCGACCCGCAGCCACAGATCCAGACTCCACAGCTCCAGAGCCAGAAAACCTGCAGGAAGTGATAGGAGGAGAGAGGAGAGGGACGAGAAAGCACAAGACTACCAGAAAGGGGAGAAGTTGTGTTAGTAACATGCAATAATGGGATAAGGTTGCATACAGAGGGAGAGAAAGTAGAGGAGAGAGGAGCTCAGTGCATCATGGGAAATCCCCCGGCAGTCTAGGCCTATAGCAGCATAACTAAGGGATGGTTCAGGACTCACCTGAGCCAGCCCTAACTATAAGCTTTATCAAAGAGGAAAGTCTTAAGCCTACTCTTAAATGTGGAGATGGTGTCTGCCTCCTGAACCCAAACTGGAACCTGGTTCCACAGGAGAGGAGCTTGATAGCTGAACGCTCTGGCTCCTAGTCTACTTTTGGAGACTCTAGGAACCACAAGTAACCCTGCATTCTGGGAGCGCAGTGCTCTGGTGGGGTAGTAAGGTACTATGAGCTCTTTAAGATAAGATGGTGCCTGACCATTAAGAGCTTTGTAGGTAAGAAGAATGATTTTAAATTCTATTCTGGATTTTACTGGAAGCCAATGCAAAGAAGCTAAAACAGGAGAAATGTGATCTCTTTTCCTGGTTCCTGTCAGAACACGTGCTGCAGCATTCTGGATCAGCTGAAGAGTCTTAATGGACTTTTTCGAGCAGCCTGATAATAAGGAATTGCAGTAATCCAGCCTAGAAGTAACAAATGCATGGACTAGTTTTTCTGCATCATTTTTAGACAGGATGTTCCTGATTTTCGCAATATTACGTAGGTGAAAAAAGGCGGTCCTTGAAATTTGCTTAATGTGGGACTTAAACGACATGTCCTGATCAAAGATAACTCCAAGATTCCTCACAGTGGTGCTGGAGGCCAGGGCGATGCCATCAAGGGAAACTATATCTTTAGATAATGCGTCACGGAGGTGCTTAGGCCCCAGAACAATAACTTCAGTTTTATCTGAGTTTAACATAAGAAAATTACAGCTCATCCAGGTTTTAACATCCTGAAGGCACATTTGAAGTTTAGCTAACTGATGAGTTTCATCTGGTTTGATCGATAGATATAACTGAGTATCATCTGCATAACAATGAAAGCTTATGGAATATTTCCTGATAATATTGCCTAAAGGAAGCATATATAAAGTGAAGAGGATTGGTCCAAGGACAGATCCTTGAGGAACTCCATGAGTAACTTTGGCGTGCATGGAGGACTCATCGTTAACATGTACAAACTGAAATCGATCTGATAAATAGGACTTAAACCAGCTTAGAGCGGTTCCTTTAATGCCAATGACAGCTGACTCTGGAGAAACGGACAACGAGAGGCTTTAATAAATATCAGCATTGACAAAAACAGGTTTCACACATACTGAACATTGATGTGGTTAATTAGTTATTGATCGTTTGTGTCAGTCTGTGCTGCAGCTTCTCTGATTGGCTGGCAGGAGTCCTCTGACATCAGCTGTGATTCACCAGTTCGTCCTGCAAGAGGCGACAACGAGAAAAGACCTTCACAGTAAAACGCCACAGAGAGAGACAGACTCAGCCTCCGTCTGATTGGCTGTAGCTTGACGGGGGTTATGCTGGTATTCAGAGGGGGGCGGGGTCAGAGCGGACAGGTGTGTCAGTGTCTGATGGGTCGGTCTTCAGATGAGTGACAGGTTAGCTGTACCGGCTGTTTGTTTGGTGACTGTGGTGGTGGTCATCATGGCAACGTGTGCGTACGGCGTGCGGCGAGCGCCTCCATCAGCTCGTGGCAGAGACACTGACAGAAGCCGTAGAGGACGAGCAGCAGCAGCGTGGAGGGAACCAGGCTGACCAGGACCACGCCCAGCCACAGCTGACCAATCATCAGCAGGTAGATCCCCAGAGGCAGAGAGCTGAAGTACACCTGTTCAAACACAGAGGACACACCTGTCAGCTCGTCGTCTCCCGTCCTCTACCTGCTGTTGCTGCCTCCGAACGCACTGACCAGGCAGAGCGCCCCCAGCAGGCAGCGGGGGAAGCTGCGGGACGTCCAGGCGCGACACTTCTGAGCTGGCAGGTTGCAGGGCAGCGAGTCCAGGCTGGGGGGGCGGTACAGACCCACCACATTGAGCGTGCTCAGTGAGTCAGAGGACGGAGACTCCTCTGGGAGCTCCATGATGGTGATGACCAGGCAGTCTGAGGAGCGGTGAGACGACTCCACGCCGCCGCCGCTGCCTCCTGATGGATGGACAGAGAGACAATTCAAACCAGACAGAACCCTAACACACCTGGACCTGAACCCAGAGTCCCTCAGCCAGCTGGTCCTGAGGCTCTCTGCAGAAACACGTCTCCAAGAGCCTCAGGACAGCAACGCACCAACTCATACAGACCAAGAGGACAGGTAGAGACACAGAAGACAGGTAGAGACACAGAGGACAGGTAGAGACACACACAGAAGACAGGTAGAGACACAGAAGACAGGTAGAGACACACACAGAAGACAGGTAGAGACACAGAGGACAGGTAGAGACACACACAGAAGACAGGTAGAGACTCAGAAGACAGGTAGAGACACACACAGAAGACAGGTAGAGACACACACAGAAGACAGGTAGAGACTCAGAAGACAGGTAGAGACTCAGAGGACAGGTAGAGACACACACAGAAGACAGGTAGAGACACAGAGGACAGGTAGAGACACAGAAGACAGGTAGAGACACAGAGGACAGGTAGAGACACACACAGAAGACAGGTAGAGACACAGAGGACAGGTAGAGACACAGAAGACAGGTAGAGACACACACAGAAGACAGGTAGAGACACAGAGGACAGGTAGAGACACACACAGAAGACAGGTAGAGACACAGAAGACAGGTAGAGACACAGAAGACAGGTAGAGACACACACAGAAGACAGGTAGAGACACAGAGGACAGGTAGAGACACACACAGAAGACAGGTAGAGACTCAGAAGACAGGTAGAGACACAGAGGACAGGTAGAGACACACACAGAAGACAGGTAGAGACTCAGAAGACAGGTAGAGACTCAGAGGACAGGTAGAGACACACACAGAAGACAGGTAGAGACACAGAGGACAGGTAGAGACACAGAAGACAGGTAGAGACACAGAGGACAGGTAGAGACACACACAGAAGACAGGTAGAGACACAGAGGACAGGTAGAGACACAGAAGACAGGTAGAGACACACACAGAAGACAGGTAGAGACACAGAGGACAGGTAGAGACACACACAGAAGACAGGTAGAGACACAGAAGACAGGTAGAGACACAGAAGACAGGTAGAGACACACACAGAAGACAGGTAGAGACACAGAGGACAGGTAGAGACACACACAGAAGACAGGTAGAGACACAGAGGACAGGTAGAGACACACACAGAAGACAGGTAGAGACTCAGAAGACAGGTAGAGACTCAGAGGACAGGTAGAGACACACACAGAAGACAGGTAGAGACACAGAGGACAGGTAGAGACACAGAAGACAGGTAGAGACACAGAGGACAGGTAGAGACACACACAGAAGACAGGTAGAGACACAGAGGACAGGTAGAGACACACACAGAAGACAGGTAGAGACACAGAAGACAGGTAGAGACACAGAGGACAGGTAGAGACACAGAAGACAGGTAGAGACACAGAGGACAGGTAGAGACACACACAGAAGACAGGTAGAGACACAGAAGACAGGTAGAGACACACACAGAAGACAGGTAGAGACACAGAGGACAGGTAGAGACACACACAGAAGACAGGTAGAGACTCAGAAGACAGGTAGAGACTCAGAGGACAGGTAGAGACACACACAGAAGACAGGTAGAGACACAGAGGACAGGTAGAGACACAGAAGACAGGTAGAGACACAGAGGACAGGTAGAGACACACACAGAAGACAGGTAGAGACACAGAGGACAGGTAGAGACACACACAGAAGACAGGTAGAGACACAGAAGACAGGTAGAGACACAGAGGACAGGTAGAGACACACACAGAAGACATGTAGAGACACAGAAGACAGGTAGAGACACACACAGAAGACAGGTAGAGACACAGAGGACAGGTAGAGACACACACAGAAGACAGGTAGAGACTCAGAAGACAGGTAGAGACTCAGAGGACAGGTAGAGACACACACAGAAGACAGGTAGAGACACAGAGGACAGTTAGAGACACACACAGAAGACAGGTAGAGACACAGAGGACAGGTAGAGACTCAGAAGACAGGTAGAGACTCAGAAGACAGGTAGAGACACAGAGGACAGGTAGAGACACAGAAGACAGGTAGAGACACAGAGGACAGGTAGAGACACAGAAGACGGGTAGAGACACAGAGGACAGGTAGAGACACAGAAGATGGGTAGAGACAGGACGACACTTTCTCATGTCATGTCCTAAAAATAAAACTTGTTATTTTACCGCTCAGACTGCTGGGACTCAGGACCACCTCCCCCTCGCCGCCACCGCCGCCTCCTCCCCCTCCTCCTCCTCCTCGGCGGGCTCGGTCCTGACACGACAGAACAGCCAGGATGTGTCGGTCGTCCTCCATCAGCCACACCTGAAGAAAAAGAAGTTTTACTTAACAAAATCTCACCTCTTTGTTAACAAAGTCTCACCTCCTCGTTAACAAAGTCTCACCTCCTCATTAACAAAATCTCACCTCCTCGTTAACAAAGTCTCACCTCCTCATTAACAAAATCTCACCTCCTCATTAACAAAATCTCACCTCCTCATTAACAAAATCTCACCTGCTCGTTAACGAAGTCTCACCTCCTCATTAACAAAGTCTCACCTCCTCGTTAACGAAGTCTCACCTCCTCGTTAACAAAGTCTCACCTCCTCATTAACACTTCCTCGTTAACAAAGTCTCACCTCCTCGTTAACACAATCTCACCTCCTCGTTAACAAAGTCTCACCTCCTCGTTAACAAAATCTCATCTCCTCGTTAACAAAGTCTCACCTCCTCATTAACAAAATCTCACCTCCTCGTTAACAAATTCTCACCTCCTCATTAACGAAGTCTCACCTCCTCATTAACGAAGTCTCACCTCCTCATTAACAAAATCTCACCTCCTCATTAACAAAATCTCACCTGCTCGTTAACGAAGTCTCACCTCCTCGTTAACACCTCCTCATTAACAAAATCTCACCTCCTCATTAACAAAATCTCCCCTCTTCGTTAACAAAATCTCACCTCCTCGTTAACAAAATCTCACCTCCTCGTTAAGAAAGTCTCACCTCCTCGTTAACAAAGTCTCACCTCCTCGTTAACAAAGTCTCACCTCCTCGTTAACAAAGTCTCACCTCCTCGTCAGGGACGTAGGTCTCGTGGCGACAGAATGGACAGCTGATGATGGAAGGTGAGGACTCACCTGAAAACCAATCAGAAGAGTCACATGACCCACTGGGTGATGTCACACGTCCTTTCAGAGACATAAAAAGTTTTTATTTTTCTGAGATTTTACTTTTAAGTCTCGAGTCTGACTCTATAGTCGTGGCCGACGCCAGCAGATGCCATCGAGTCGTCAATCGTTCCTTCACTGTTCATTCTTAAAGCGGTCATAACCCCCCACCCAACGCTGGATCCCCCCCACCGAACAGAGAAGACGAAGCTCAGTTAAACAGGCTCCAACATGTACAGCTGAACAGAAGCCGTGGTTACCAGCTTGTCAGGACCCACCCTGCTCTGCTTCTGATTGGCTAGTAGTCCTTACCAATGTACATGTGCAACTCCCAACAAAGATTGAACAGAAGTGAGATGCTTCACTCAGAGCGTTCAACACACAGGGTGAGACGAGGAGCTGCAGCGATGAGCAGTCTGAACAGGAAACCATGTGAACCTGTTCTGGTACAGCTGCTAAATAAAATGATGAACTGGACTCTGGGGGGTTGGTTCTGCAGGAACACACCTGCTTTGGAGCTCTCTTCCTGGACGCTGTATCACCTGCTGCAGAGAGGTCCGGGGAGATGTGAGTAGGACTTCACTAACCTGGCCAAGGTGGGGTTTCTTTTCTTGCTAGTCTTCCACCGCTGTAATGGATTTTAGATTTTGTTCCTCACTTGAGGTTCTCAGCTTCCTCCTCTCAGCTTCACTGCTGGTTTCGGTATCGAGACAGGACTTTTGGGTCCAGCTGCTGTAGCGACGGAGGACGCTGTCACACCGAGACTGATCCGAGTGCCTGTCTGAGTTTTCTGAACCTCGGGTCCAGGTTAGAGGGTCCCCGTGTTCGGGGCCACGTCTGAGAGTCTTCCTCCGTCGCTGTTGAAGCTGCTCCGTAGGACTCAGAGAACCTGCACTGCTCCTGACTGGAAGGCAGCACTCTGGGCTTCACATCTCCTTCACAAGTGGAGGTTCTAAAGAGGTTCGGATGTATCTCCCCACTCTCAGCAGCACATTCAAAGGGGCGCAGTAGCTTACTCTGGAAGGTTGCCGGTTTGAGTCCAGCTCGGCCTGCGCTGAGTGGCACCCCTCGCTCTGACATCGCTCCATGTGTGTATTTCAGACTAAACATCAACAACAGAGTGAAGAAATATTGAATTTCCTTGCGGGATAAATAAAGTGTCGTCTTCTTCTTCACAGGCTCCACCGGTCGTCCTAAAGTCAAGGTAGCGTATGCCCCTCAGACCGTTTCGTCAGACAGCGTTGAGCCGTCCTCTGCTCGAAGCCTTTGACAGCAGAACTGATCCCCGGACGTGGCCGGTGCAGCTGACGGAGGACCCTTCTCCTCTCGTGTTTTTGCCACAGATACGATATTATCACCTCTGTCGAGCACAATGGCCATACTTTTGCTGCTACCTCCTCCACCGCTCTACGATGCTGGATGTCCGTCCTCCAGGGGCCCGGTGGTGAGGGCTGATGGTACGTTTCACTCCCTGAACATCTCCGTCCACTCCATCGGTGTAAGGGGAGAGAGGAACCAGGGCTCATCCTCCACCCTCCAGAGTGGCCTCATGTCAGTCACCAGCTTCAGGATCCTTTCAGTCAGAACAGCTGACCCATGTAAAGTTACTAAGCTACCGTGTTCTGATTGGCCCACGGCTCCAACGGGCTTCCTCTTCAGACGCAGCAGCTGTGAGGGCTTTAACAGAAAGTGCTGCAGACTTTCCTGCCTAACACTCACGCTCTGCTGCCGTGAGCTCCACGAGGAGCGGCCATGGCTGCTTCCTGTCCGACCTCAGGAGAGCAGAAATGAAGCTCCACGCTCATCAGAAACCTTCATGGACCTTATCGGAGATGATATTCAAACCATTTTTAGAACAGATTACCGTGGCCAGGTAGTTGCAGCTCTACCTGGTTGGTGAACTCACCCATGTCGACCATCTTCTTCAGACACTTGGCGCAGACTCGGTGCAGACAGCCCAGGAGTTTGGGCTTCCGGCTGCGGGTGTCGTAGCGGTTGTAGCAGATTTTACACTCCAGTTCCTCCAGAGTGTAAACCAGAGACTGAGCCCAGGTCTGCACCTGAACGCAGCACAGGTGGTTACAGTCAGACAGATTCATATCAGGCCGTAGATTTATCGATCACTATCAGGAACGCTCAAGTAAGATATCAGTTAGCTGCTGGAAGTCATATTGATCGGTCAGGTTTGTTGCTCTTTGTCTCTGCTGATACACGCTCTGTGTACTTTCTTTAAATAATGGCACTTAATTTAAATATTTCACTGACTAATTTGATCTTCCAACTTTATTTATTTACAAAATTAAAAACACGATTCTATCATGGCAGCCAAAAAGGTTCATCTGAAATACTACAGTAATATTACTGTTACTACATAAGAGTATATATATATATGTATGTATAAGTATCCTGTATCATAAATACTCCTGCAGTATTGCAGTGAGGCCTGATGGGAAATCTCACCTTGCCTTCCATCTCCCGGCCAGGCTCCGCCTCCTTCAGCTGGCTCATCCTATTGGCCGTTGTCTTCCCCTGAACAAGGATGGGGGGGGGCAGCTGTGGGCGGAGCTTAACTCAACCTGAGGCCATCACCTGACTGGAAGACAAACAGTACTACAAAACTACTACATGTTGTCTGATTGGTCGGTTTTCCTCTGCACAGACAAAGCAGCAGGTACATACCTGACTCCAGATCAGCTGATCAATCTGACAGTCTGAGAGCACGTCCATCTGTCCAACCAGGGGCCCAAAGTCCAAACACAGGCAGGTCAGAACAAACTGATGTCAGATTTTACTGTTTTATTGATTCTCAGTGTTTTTCTCTGTAAACATAAATACTGTGTACATTAGAGTGGGACTAACATGCTAAGCTAGGCTAATGACTCTATCTGTGCTGTAACAGAAAGTGTGGGACTAACATGCTAAGCTAGGCTAATGACTCTATCTGTGCTGTAACAGAAAGTGTGGGACTAACATGCTAAGCTAGGCTAATGACTCTAACTGTGCTGTAACAGAAAGTGTGGGACTAACATGCTAAGCTAGGCTAATGACTCTAACTGTGCTGTAACAGAAAGTGTGGGACTAACATGCTAAGCTAGGCTAATGACTATCTGTGCTGTAGCAGAAAGTGTGGGACTAACATGCTAAGCTAGGCTAATGACTCTATCTGTGCTGTAACAGAAAGTGTGGGACTAACATGCTAAGCTAGGCAAATGACTCTATCTGTGCTGTAACAGAAAGTGTGGGACTAACATGCTAAGCTAGGCTAATGACTCTATCTGTGCTGTAACAGAAAGTGTGGGACTAACATGCTAAGCTAGGCTAATGACTCTATCTGTGCTGTAAATGAAAGTGTGGGACTAACAGGCTAAGCTAGGCTAATGACTCTATCTGTGCTGTAACAGAAAGTGTGGGACTAACAGGCTAAGCTAGGCAAATGACTCTATCTGTGCTGTAACAGAAAGTGTGGGACTAACACGCTAAGCTAAGCTAATGACTCTATCTGTGCTGTAACAGAAAGTGTGGGACTAACATGCTAAGCTAGGCTAATGACTCTATCTGTGCTGTAACAGAAAGTGTGGGACTAACAGGCTCAGCTAGGCTAAAGACTCTATCTGTGCTGTAACAGAAAGTGTGGGACTAACATGCTAAGCTAGGCTAATGACTCTATCTGTGCTGTAACAGAAAGTGTGGGACTAACACGCTAAGCTAGGCTAATGACTCTATCTGTGCTGTAACAGAAAGTGTGGGACTAACAGGCTCAGCTAGGCTAATGACTCTATCTGTGCTGTAACAGAAAGTGTGGGACTAACATGCTAAGCTAGGCTAATGACTCTATCTGTGCTGTAGCAGAAAGTGTGGGACTAACATGCTAAGCTAGGCTAATGACTCTAACTGTGCTGTAAATGAAAGTGTGGGACTAACAGGCTAAGCTAGGCTAATGACTCTATCTGTGCTGTAACAGAAAGTGTGGGACTAACATGCTAAGCTAGGCTAATGACTATCTGTGCTGTAACAGAAAGTGTGGGACTAACATGCTAAGCTAGGCTAATGACTCTATCTGTGCTGTAAAAGAAAGTGTGGGACTAACATGCTAAGCTAGGCTAATGACTCTATCTGTGCTGTAACAGAAAGTGTGGGACTAACAGGCTAAGCTAGGCTAATGACTCTATCTGTGCTGTAACAGAAAGTGTGGGACTAACAGGCTAAGCTAGGCTAATGACTCTATCTGTGCTGTAACAGAAAGTGTGGGACTAACACGCTAAGCTAAGCTAATGACTCTATCTGTGCTGTAGCAGAAAGTGTGGGACTAACAGGCTAAGCTAGGCTAATGACTCTATCTGTGCTGTAACAGAAAGTGTGGGACTAACACGCTAAGCTAAGCTAATGACTCTATCTGTGCTGTAACAGAAAGTGTGGGACTAACATGCTAAGCTAGGCTAATGACTCTATCTGTGCTGTAACAGAAAGTGTGGGACTAACATGCTAAGCTAGGCTAATGACTCTATCTGTGCTGTAACAGAAAGTGTGGGACTAACATGCTAAGCTAGGCAAATGACTCTATCTGTGCTGTAACAGAAAGTGTGGGACTAACATGCTAAGCTAGGCTAATGACTAACTGTGCTGTAACAGAAAGTGTGGGACTAACATGCTAAGCTAAGCTAATGACTCTATCTGTGCTCCATGTAAACTCGTCTTGTCTCCCATCTTTGTGGCAGCCACAGAGGAAAGGGGGCACAAGGTTTAGGGGACAGGGTTTACAGGAGGGGGGACATGGTTTTGCTCGTGTGAGGGACCCAGTGGAGAATGGTGCCGCATTGAGTACCAGAACCAGGGCTGAGTGGAACCACTATGCACTATACTATGTACTATAATGTGTCCTGTTCTGTGTACTGTGTACTATGTACTATAATGTGTACTGTTCTGTGTACTGTGTACTATGTACTATAATGTATACTGTTCTGTGTACTGTGTACTGTTCTGTGTATTGTGTACTATAATGTGTCCTGTTCTGTGTACTGTGTACTATGTACTATAATGTGTCCTGTTCTGTGTACTGTGTACTATAATGTGTACTGTTCTGTGTACTTTTATGTGTACTATGTACTATAATGTATACTGTTATGTGTATTGTTACGTGTACTGTGTACTATAATGTTTACTGTTCTTTGTACTGTGTACTATAATGTGTCCTGTTCTGTGTACACTGTACTATGTACTATAATGTGTACTGTTCTGTGTACTATAATGTGTACTGGTCTGTGTACAGTGTACTGTGTACTTTTATGTGTACTATGTACTATAATGTATACTGTTATGTGTATTGTTACGTGTACTGTGTACTATAATGTTTACTGTTCTTTGTACTGTGTACTATAATGTGTCCTGTTCTGTGTACACTGTACTATGTACTATAATGTGTACTGTTCTGTGTACTATAATGTGTACTGTTCTGTGTACAGTGTACTATGTACTATAATTTGTGCTGTACTGTGTCCTGTTCTGCGTACTATAATGTGTCCTGTTCTGTGTACTATGAGTACTATACTGTGTACTATAATTTGTCCTGTTCTGTGTACTATGAGTACTATAATGTGTACTGTTCTGTGTACTATAATGTGTCCTGTTCTATGTACTATGAGTACTATAATGTGTACTGTTCTGTGTACTATAATGTGTCCTGTTCTATGTACTATGAGTACTATACTGTGTACTGTGTACTATAATGTGTACTGTTCTGTGTACTATGATGTGTACTGTGTACTATAATGTGTACAGTTCTGTGTACTATAATGTGTCCTGTTCTGTGTACTATGAGTACTATACTGTGTACTGTGTACTATAATGTGTACTGTGTACTATACTGTGTACTATGAGTACTACACTGTGTACTATAATGTGTACTGTGTACTATAATGAGTACTATAATGTGTCCTGTTCTGTGTACTATGAGTACTATACTGTGTACTGTGTACTATAATGTGTAGTGTTCTGTGTACTATAATGTGTACTGTGTACTATACTGTGTACTATGAGTACTACACTGTGTACTATAATGTGTACTGTGTACTATAATGAGTACTATAATGTGTACTGTTCTGTGTACTATAATGTGTCCTGTTCTATGTACTATGAGTACTATACTGTGTACTATAATGCGTCCTGTTATGTGTACTATGAGTACTATACTGTGTACTGTGTACTATAATGTGTACTGTTCTGTGTACTATGATGTGTACTGTGTACTATAATGTGTACAGTTCTGTGTACTATAATGTGTCCTGTTCTGTGTACTATGAGTACTATACTGTGTACTGTGTACTATAATGTGTACTGTGTACTATACTGTGTACTATGAGTACTACACTGTGTACTATAATGTGTACTGTGTACTATAATGAGTACTATAATGTGTCCTGTTCTGTGTACTATGAGTACTATACTGTGTACTGTGTACTATAATGTGTAGTGTTCTGTGTACTATAATGTGTACTGTGTACTATACTGTGTACTATGAGTACTACACTGTGTACTATAATGTGTACTGTGTACTATAATGAGTACTATAATGTGTCCTGTTCTGTGTACTATGAGTACTATACTGTGTACTGTGTACTATAATGTGTAGTGTTCTGTGTACTATAATGTGTACTGTGTACTATACTGTGTACTATGAGTACTACACTGTGTACTATAATGTGTACTGGGTACTATAATGAGTACTATAATGTGTCCTGTTCTGTGTACTATGAGTACTATACTGTGTACTGTGTACTATAATGAGTACTATACTGTGTCCTGTTCTGTGTACTATGAGTACTATACTGTGTACTGTGTAGTATAATGTGCCCTGTTCTGTGTACTATAATGTGCACTGTGTACTATAATGAGTACTATAATGTGTCCTGTTCTGTGTACTATGAGTACTATACTGTGTACTGTGTACTATAATGAGTACTATACTGTGTCCTGTTCTGTGTACTATGAGTACTATACTGTGTACTGTGTAGTATAATGTGCCCTGTTCTGTGTACTGTGTACTATAATGTGCACTGTGTACTATAATGAGTACTATAATGTGTCCTGTTCTGTGTACTGTGTACTATAATGTGTACTGTGTACTATAATGAGTACTATAATGTGTCCTGTTCTGTGCACTATGAGTACTATACTGTGTACTGTGTACTGTGTACTACAGAGTGCAGAGGCAGCAGAGAACCAGACGGGTTCTAACAGAACCTCCAGCTGTTGACAGTGACGTGTTGCTGCTCACCTGCTGGATGATGGAGGGGGAGTTGCTGGTTGCTGTAGTTGCAGGTTGAGTTGCTGTCTACACGCTGGTTGTTAAACAGCAACAGTGTATTTCCAAGTTGCTCCGCTGGTTGCTGTAGTTGCTGTATTCTCTCTCTCTGGTTGAAGCAACACTGCAGTTGCCTGGTTGGTCGGTGGCCTGGTTGCTTATGTGTACTTGCTGTGTTCTCTCTCAGGTTGAAGCAACATGGTTGCCGTCAGACATCCCAGTCTGTTGCTAGTTGCCCTACCTGTAGTTGCTCTCCGTCAGACCGGAGCAGCGCTGCAGCAACAGTCTCTCAGGTTGAGCAACACTGCGGTACCGGAGCCTCAGGTTGAGCAACACTGCGGTACCGGAGCGTCATCCGTCTCATTAACAGTCCGTCGTCGTCGCGCGCCTCTGACCGACGGCGCGGGGAAGCTAACAGGCTAACCGCAGGTCCGGTCCGGTCCGTCTCGGGTCTGCGGGTCGCCAGTCCCGGTCCCTGCTGGTCCCTGCTGGTCCCTGCTGGTCTCGGTGACTCACCGTCTCTCCTCACTGCGGCGCGCGGCCGTCGGAGGGAGCCCGCGTTTCCATGGCAACCGGCCTGCAGCGGGATGACGGGAGGTCTGCCGAAGATGAGGATCGATAACGTGACGGGATCAGCTGTTCGTTCAGGTATTACTGAGTAAATGTACTGCAGTGTTTGAAGTAAAAGTACTGCTGATTCTCCGTCAGAGACCGCTTCATCAGTACTCACTGATACTATGATCATACTACTGATCTGTGTACTCTGTGTACTGTGCGTGGTACTTTATTATACCAACACCTGTCAGTTATTGGTTATTATGAGGAAGTACTTCTAATATGTTTCTATGTTTCTAATAGTACCTGAAGTACATGAGGAAGTACTTCAGTGCTGTGTCTCTGTTTAATGCTGTATGTTTCTAATAGTACCTGAAGTACATGAGGAAGTACTTCAGTGCTGTGTCTCTGTTTAATGCTGTATGTTTCTAATAGTACCTGAAGTACATGAGGAAGTACTTCAGTGCTGTGTCTCTGTTTAATGCTGTATGTTTCTAATAGTACATGAAGTACATGGGGAAGTACTTCAGTGCTGTGTCTCTGTTTAATGCTGTATGTTTCTAATAGTACATGAAGTACATGAGGAAGTACTTCAGTGCTGTGTCTCTGTTTAATGCTGTATGTTTCTAATAGTACATGAAGTACATGAGGAAGTACTTCAGTGCTGTGTCTCTGTTTAATGCTGTATGTTTCTAATAGTACATGAAGTACATGAGGAAGTACTTCAGTGCTGTGTCTCTGTTTAATGCTGTATGTTTCTAATAGTACATGAAGTACATGGGGAAGTACTTCAGTGCTGTGTCTCTGTTTAATGCTGTATGTTTCTAATAGTACATGAAGTACATGAGGAAGTACTTCAGTGCTGTGTCTCTGTTTAATGCTGTATGTTTCTAATAGTACATGAAGTACATGAGGAAGTACTTCAGTGCTGTGTCTCTGTTTAATGCTGTATGTTTCTAATAGTACATGAAGTACATGAGGAAGTACTTCAGTGCTGTGTCTCTGTTTAATGCTGTATGTTTCTAATAGTACATGAAGTACATGGGAAGTACTTCAGTGCTGTGTCTCTGTTTAATGCTGTATGTTTCTAATAGTACATGAAGTACATGAGGAAGTACTTCAGTGCTGTGTCTCTGTTTAATGCTGTATGTTTCTAATAGTACCTGAAGTACATGAGGAAGTACTTCAGTGCTGTGTCTCTGTTTAATGCTGTATGTTTCTAATAGTACATGAAGTACATGGGGAAGTACTTCAGTGCTGTGTCTCTGTTTAATGCTGTATGTTTCTAATAGTACATGAAGTACATGGGGAAGTACTTCAGTGCTGTGTCTCTGTTTAATGCTGTATGTTTCTAATAGTACATGAAGTACATGAGGAAGTACTTCAGTGCTGTGTCTCTGTTTAATGCTGTATGTTTCTAATAGTACCTGAAGTACATGAGGAAGTACTTCAGTGCTGTGTCTCTGTTTAATGCTGTATGTTTCTAATAGTACATGAAGTACATGAGGAAGTACTTCAGTGCTGTGTCTCTGTTTAATGCTGTATGTTTCTAATAGTACATGAAGTACATGGGGAAGTACTTCAGTGCTGTGTCTCTGTTTAATGCTGTATGTTTCTAATAGTACATGAAGTACATGGGGAAGTACTTCAGTGCTGTGTCTCTGTTTAATGCTGTATGTTTCTAATAGTACATGAAGTACATGGGGAAGTACTTCAGTGCTGTGTCTCTGTTTAATGCTGTATGTTTCTAATAGTACATGAAGTACATGAGGAAGTACTTCAGTGCTGTGTCTCTGTTTAATGCTGTATGTTTCTAATAGTACATGAAGTACATGAGGAAGTACTTCAGTGCTGTGTCTCTGTTTAATGCTGTATGTTTCTAATAGTACATGAAGTACATGAGGAAGTACTTCAGTGCTGTGTCTCTGTTTAATGCTGTATGTTTCTAATAGTACATGAAGTACATGAGGAAGTACTTCAGTGCTGTGTCTCTGTTTAATGCTGTATGTTTCTAATAGTACCTGAAGTACATGGGGAAGTACTTCAGTGCTGTGTCTCTGTTTAATGCTGTATGTTTCTAATAGTACCTGAAGTACATGAGGAAGTACTTCAGTGCTGTGTCTCTGTTTAATGCTGTATGTTTCTAATAGTACATGAAGTACATGGGGAAGTACTTCAGTGCTGTGTCTCTGTTTAATGCTGTATGTTTCTAATAGTACATGAAGTACATGGGGAAGTACTTCAGTGCTGTGTCTCTGTTTAATGCTGTATGTTTCTAATAGTACATGAAGTACATGAGGAAGTACTTCAGTGCTGTGTCTCTGTTTAATGCTGTATGTTTCTAATAGTACATGAAGTACATGAGGAAGTACTTCAGTGCTGTGTCTCTGTTTAATGCTGTATGTTTCTAATAGTACATGAAGTACATGAGGAAGTACTTCAGTGCTGTGTCTCTGTTTAATGCTGTATGTTTCTAATAGTACATGAAGTACATGAGGAAGTACTTCAGTGCTGTGTCTCTGTTTAATGCTGTATGTTTCTAATAGTACATGAAGTACATGAGGAAGTACTTCAGTGCTGTGTCTCTGTTTAATGCTGTATGTTTCTAATAGTACCTGAAGTACATGGGAAAGTACTTCAGTGCTGTGTCTCTGTTTAATGCTGTATGTTTCTAATAGTACATGAAGTACATGAGGAAGTACTTCAGTGCTGTGTCTCTGTTTAATGCTGTATGTTTCTAATAGTACATGAAGTACATGAGGAAGTACTTCAGTGCTGTGTCTCTGTTTAATGCTGTATGTTTCTAATAGTACATGAAGTACATGAGGAAGTACTTCAGTGCTGTGTCTCTGTTTAATGCTGTATGTTTCTAATAGTACATGAAGTACATGAGGAAGTACTTCAGTGCTGTGTCTCTGTTTAATGCTGTATGTTTCTAATAGTACATGAAGTACATGGGGAAGTACTTCAGTGCTGTGTCTCTGTTTAATGTGTTAGGCTAATCCTGGGTCCTGGTTGGTCCTCAGGGATGAAGTCGGTCTCCCCTAAAGAAGCGGAGCAGCTGACTGCAGCAGGTACTAAAGCTCGTTAAACATCCTGTTCAGGAGACTCAGACGTGATGCTGCAGCTGATCTGCAGCTCCTGTCGGCTGGAAATGTTTTAATAAGCTTCCAAACTGTCGCCACTTTATTTTTGTTATTTTAAGAACTTGATGGTTTGATCCAGTTTGGTATTAAATGTGTAACAAACTTTATCTCGTGTCTCTCCCCTATACTCAATACACACAAAAAGTACTGATAAATAGTAGTAGTAATCATGAGTACTGGTAAATAGTAGTAGTAATCATGAGTACTGGTAAATAGTAGTAGTAATCATGAGTACTGGTAAATAGTAGTAGTAATCATGGGTACTGATAAATAGTAGTAGTAATCATGAGTACTGATAAATAGTAGCAGTAATCATGAGTACTGATAAATAGTAGTAGTAATCATGAGTACTGGTAAATAGTAGTAGTAATCATGAGTACTGATAAATAGTAGTAGTAATCATGAGTACTGATAAATAGTAGTAGTAATCATGAGTACTGGTAAATAGTAGTAGTAATCATGAGTACTGATAAATAGTAGTAGTAATCATGAGTACTGATAAATAGTAGTAGTAATCATGAGTACTGATAAATAGTAGTAGTAATCATGGGTACTGGTAAATAGTAGTAGTAATCATGAGTACTGGTAAATAGTAGTAGTAATCATGGGTACTGATAAATAGTAGTAGTAATCATGAGTACTGATAAATAGTAGTAGTAATCATGAGTACTGATAAATAGTAGTAGTAATCATGAGTACTGGTAAATAGTAGTAGTAATCATGAGTACTGGTAAATAGTAGTAGTAATCATGGGTACTGATAAATAGTAGTAGTAATCATGAGTACTGATAAATAGTAGTAGTAATCATGAGTACTGATAAATAGTAGTAGTAATCATGAGTACTGGTAAATAGTAGCAGTAATCATGGGTACTGATAAATAGTAGTAGTAATCATGGGTACTGATAAATAGTAGTAGTAATCATGAGTACTGATAAATAGTAGCAGTAATCATGAGTACTGGTAAATAGTAGCAGTAATCATGAGTACTGATAAATAGTAGCAGTAATCATGAGTACTGGTAAATAGTAGTAGTAATCATGAGTACTGATAAATAGTAGTAGTAATCATGGGTACTGATAAATAGTAGTAGTAATCATGAGTACTGATAAATAGTAGTAGTAATCATGAGTACTGATAAATAGTAGTAGTAATCATGAGTACTGATAAATAGTAGTAGTAATCATGGGTACTGATAAATAGTAGTAGTAATCATGGGTACTGATAAATAGTAGTAGTAATCATGAGTACTGATAAATAGTAGCAGTAATCATGAGTACTGGTAAATAGTAGTAGTAATCATGAGTACTGGTAAATAGTAGTAGTAATCATGGGTACTGATAAATAGTAGCAGTAATCATGGGTACTGATAAATAGTAGTAGTAATCATGAGTACTGATAAATAGTAGCAGTAATCATGGGTACTGATAAATAGTAGTAGTAATCATGAGTACTGATAAATAGTAGCAGTAATCATGGGTACTGGTAAATAGTAGCAGTAATCATGAGTACTGATAAATAGTAGTAGTAATCATGAGTACTGATAAATAGTAGCAGTAATCATGGGTACTGATAAATAGTAGTAGTAATCATGAGTACTGATAAATAGTAGTAGTAATCATGGGTACTGATAAATAGTAGTAGTAATCATGGGTACTGATAAATAGTAGTAGTAATCATGGGTACTGATAAATAGTAGTAGTAATCATGAGTACTGATAAATAGTAGTAGTAATCATGGGTACTGATAAATAGTAGTAGTAATCATGAGTACTGATAAATAGTAGTAGTAATCATGAGTACTGATAAATAGTAGTAGTAATCATGGGTACTGATAAATAGTAGTAGTAATCATGAGTACTGATAAATAGTAGTAGTAATCATGAGTACTGATAAATAGTAGTAGTAATCATGGGTACTGATAATAGTAGTAGTAATCATGG